ATGGAGATAGACTGGTTTTCTTATGGCCCTATCGTGATGAAGAATACATGACACAATGAGAAAATAAATCTAGTTTCATTCACTATTCATGCACCTCCCTCATATATAATTTTCCTCTTAGGATTAAGGCCATTATATTTTTAATGGATACGAAGATGTTATTTTGCATGTTAAATTATGTTTTTTTCCAGTCGGGGCCGCGGCCCAGTCCGCTCCTGAAAACAGAGGAGTAGCAACTGTACTTGCTTATCATTAGGACAACCTGCCCTCGACTAAAAGAGTTTGGCACAAATTTCTGGAGAAAACGATGGGGCTAATATTTTCAGAGATTTTTAAATTTATTTCCGGATCCAACATCTAATAAATTAAGTGAGGTGCTGACTGGGTTGCAGCCAGCGAGTCAGAATCTAAGAAAATAATTTATTATTTCATTTATTATGTTGTGCCAAATATATACATGTATATCTATCCACCATACTGGCACACATTTGAGTGTGTGACGGGCAATGACCAAGGGCCCCATGCAAGCTTAATATGTCCCTGATTTCCATTGATGGCTTCCAAATTAGATTTTTACAGCCCGGGTTAATATTTCTATAATATTAAGCATCACTTAATCTGTCTTTGTTTTATTTATTTCGATGAATGAAGTTAGGACAATGAAGAAAAAAAACCCCGGAAATAGCAACATGGGGAACATTTTTAGCTGTAGGCATATCCCAAGGCCAATACGCTAACGTTACCACGAACCGTATTGACATTTAGCGAAAAGTTACTCACTTGGCCAGGCTTAATGTAAACTTTTGACACCGGTGTATAGATCGTGATCATTCTCTCGTTGGGATGTGTAAGTTTACTCTTAAATGCTACCCCTCCCTCATAAGCGAAAAGAATCGAATACTTGGCAAGTACCCCTTGTACGGAATACAGACCCCCTTATCTTTACTCGTGGGTCGATAAGTTCTTGATTGTTGCTAACTATGTTCATGTTAAAATCTGCATGACTTGATCACAATCCGTCAACCAAGTGTCAATGTGTGTATGGTATGTCATGGTTCAGATATAGTTCAAATCCATTCTAGCATGTGCCACAGAACCAAAGAATGCCCCGGCGCTGCCCCCACCTACATTTGGTCCGCCTACCCTTCAATTGGAGACCCAAGCATGTCTCTGAATTAAATTGGCTCAAAAAATAGGATTGGTAGATAAAGTATTTGTTTTTTCGAGAAGTTTGCGGGCTAAGTCTGATTGAACTAATCGCATTAACAAATCAACCTTTTAATAACCTAAATCGATGCATGCATTCTAAACCCTTTGTAATGTCACTTCTATTACCGTAGAATTTGTATTATTTATTTCGTAGTATTTCTAGCTTGTAAGGTTCCGGAAATTCATGCCGATTCAGACTTTTGTAAATACCGAAATTCAATGCTGGAATATATCTACAGACAACCACGCCAAGACCGATTTATTAGGTCCTGGAAAACGAGAAAAAAAGGTTTAGGCTCCAAAACATTATGGCTCCAAAAATAGTTTGGATCGGGTTATCGTAAATATGGGTTTACTATTAGGTTAAGAGATGGAATTATGTCGTGAATTCGTTCTATCAACCAGGGTAATGAAGTCTGGCATATGCAAAGCATTGTTCTTCAAATTAAAAAAGCCAAGGATTATTTACGTGCACACCAGCAGACCTTCCGCCAAAGCGTGACAGGTTACAAAACTACATTCAGCTATGACCTAAGTGTGATGGTCGTGTTGTCAAGACATACGCTCCAATCACTACTGGAATGCCTCGTGCGTGCGTGAACCGTGCCTTTTAAGCACAGGGTCCGTTGGGGGGGTCAACTGGGACACTTTTCCAGGGGCTTGGAGCCTAGAGGTGCCGAGTAATGTTGTTTTTTTTTAAAGTTGGTATAAATGGACAACAGGATGCGACTGTGCAACATCACCCACACAAAATGATATATATTTGTATTATGTACCGATGTCTGACGATGGATGTAGTAACATATCAGAATTAATCACTGGTTTACAGAAAAATAAACACTTAAAGGGGCACTATACAAGATCTCGGTAAAGAGCTGGTCGTTCTCACTGTAATATTTCAAAAATAGAAAATGCAAAATGAATTTATTGAAATTTCATTCAAATTACTTTATTTTGAGCGAATTTATCAATGGTTCTAGTTTTGACAAGATGTGTGCATTGATCGTAACCACCGAACTGGTCATTCGAGTCTGAGCCTAGCCTTTCCATTTTTAAATTAAATCATTAAATGGCCGAACCGTTCTAATTTACTTAAAACGGAGCTATCCGATGGCATCGAGGGTTGATTATGGTCTTGTCATGTTCATAATTTACTAAGGCCCAAAGACAGACCTGCAATAGACAGATCTAGCTCTTGCATAATGCCTGTTTAACATATTTTAACTTTGATGAAAGAGATTTAAATCCAAACGAATGGCTTTTATCGCCCTATTTACTACAAAAGTGTTGCTAATATTGTATATTAATTACCTTATTATATGAGAAGTTTGTGGGGTTATTTAAAGAGTATAGTCCCCAGCCAACTATTAGGCAATCCTTTGATAATGAAAAAAAAAATCAAATATCAAAATAAAAGCTTGATTCTTTCGGGAGAACCTCATGATAATATTCTGTTATCATAATTTTCCTTAGCGATAGCGGGGAAACACTAAGACCCCCCAACAGATTAAAATGAATTCGCGTGAGGACCAGACAAAAAAAGGTGCTAATGTGAGGGAGGGGGGGGGGTGGTCTTTTATGTGCTCGTCAATGTGTACACAGTAGCTTGTGTTTTTGTCCCATCTTCACAACTAGACACTATTCGTTGCCAGAACGTTCGTCCTGTACCCGACATCGCGACAACCCGACATCACATTTTAACCCGACAATATGACATTTTTAAATGTCGTGGTGTCGGGTGAAAATGACAATAGAAACCGGCGGACTAGTGAACCTGCGGACTACTGAGCGTTCACGTAGATCACAAAGTTATAAAGTCCTACTCCTATTAGAAATGCGAGTTGAAACACATGAAAATCTGAAAAAATTGTTGAATTTAAGATCCATTTCAGCGTCTTAATTTCAAATGGTAAAATTTCGGATTTGTTACTTTAAGGCATATACTATAACATATATTTTTATAGTTTTTTGGAGGGAGTCATGTCCCTAACGTTCCGAAAGTTGGTCCACTCGACATGGAATATTGACCCAAAACTATACATTTTAGCAAGAAGAGATAATTCCAAAAAATAAAACCCATTGCGCGTTATCTATTCTTGATTATAGTAAAGAACAACAGTCTGTGGGTTAACGTCCACTCGACACAAACTAGGTCATTTCGGGACTAACTTATGGTTCAATTTAATTTCAATAACTCGCTTGCGCCTAGGGGTCTTTAGCAGAGGGAGGAAACCGGATTATGTGTTATAATAAAATTCGGCAACGGACTACATAGCACAAATCATTAGCGTTTTTCACTGTATAATATACATGTACGTGTTATGCCTTTTGCTATTCAATCGATATTCTTGTGTTCGCGGCAACGCATATAATTGTAAATATAACCGTTTGAACAATATACTATTGTGTAGTACCTAGTGAACATATTCTGACGTAATTTTATGATTATAACTGACTTGCTTAAAATGTATGTAGTAACATGGAGTTCAGATCAGGAAATTTCCCGGCCGATCTTCAATAATGTCAAATCTAATTTAATCTTACCATAGTACGAATTATAGCAGATGCCATTCAAGTACACCTGGAATTATCCTCTCGTTGATATTCGATATATACAGGGTCTGACTGGGCTCCATCTGCCAATGGATGAAGCCAGACACTCTTGAAAAGTGTGTAAGAAGGGGGGTGGGGGTGCGGGGTGTGGAATGAGTTTTCCTTCACTAAGGTAGAGTGAAGCATGAAAGCATTAAACCCAGTTCTACGCTTAATACATTATAAGACACACACAGTCAATAGTCATGATATTCAATACTCTCTACCGCACTCTTTACATGCGATCCAAACAATTTTATTATTGTTATTGATAGTCGGATGGTAGATGATCATAATTAGCTCGACAATTTTCTATCCACCCCTGCAAAGAGTGCACTACAAGGTATTGAACTTAGCTGATCGAAAAAGTGGATTTTTATCATAGTGGTTGGTATCTAGCCAGGTAGACAGGACCCCTTTCGATAATCAAGCTAAATTTTTAATTTTGTAAGAGGAGAACTCCGTCTATTTTATGTCAAAATTTGTCTCTTGTCTATACAGAGGGAGGCGTGCAGAATGCGCTCAAACTTCTTTTAATAAAATCATTTTTCGTCATGGAATCTGTTTTCTCAATTTTCTCAGTCATGAACTAGAGGACCAGTCTGATATTTTATATTTATGTGTTCGGGTGCTAGCCCCACCTTTGTACCAAATTTGGTTCAAATCTGAAAATGCAGCCTTAGCACCTTCTGCCTGGTGCTCTCGCGAACGCGTTCTTAATATGTTATTCTTATTGTCCTTACTGATGCCATAAGAAAAGCTACGCAGCCCTTCACATTCACATTCACATTTTGTTGTTAGATATCAAAACGTTTGGCAAATACTCAAATTAAATGCACGATGACAACACTACACGGAAACCAACCCGACAAGACAACCACGCGGACAATACACAAACTAGAGTCATTGCTGGCAACTTTTCGCAACTTCGAATTCGACCCTGATGATGAGTATGTTTACAAGTGGATAGTTTGGGTTTAGTGATATTCATATGAAACCTCATCAATTAAATGATATTGAATAATGGATGGGTGTGCATATAAAAAAATAATGATTGAGTTTTAAGTAACATTAAAATCCATTTAAATTAATCGGTTGCAAGAATTGTCATGGACGCCTCAGGTGGGAAACCGATCCCAAGCGCGTGATTTTTGCGTATAAATAAACAACGAAATAACAATTTATTCATTACCCCTTTCATCGTATTTGCAGAGGTACTCTCCAGGTAAGCATACATATTATTACAGGAAACCTTTTAGCCTTATGATTTCCATCACTAATTACATGGCATTTTTCAGGGACAACAGTCGTCGTCGCATTACATAGTTTGTGTGGGTGGGTGTGTGTGTGTGTGTGTGTGTGTGTTTTAGGGGTCTTGAATGTATAGTGGATTTCGGTTTTGTACTCGTCGATGTTCATTTTTTTATCTAAATGTATTTCTTTCAGAAATCTCAAAATGGTATCCAGCGTCGTTGCCTTTCTCGCCCTTGTTTGTGTAGCTGCTGCTTTACCTTATGGTGGAATGATGAAAAGTATGGGTTATACCGGCATGTACGGCGGCGGAATGTATCCTAGCATGTACGGCGGCGGAATGTATCCTGGCATGAGCATGCTCGGCGGCGGAATGTATCCCGGCATGAGCATGCTCGGCGGCGGAATGTATCCCGGCATGGGCATGGGCATGGGCTTGTTCGGCGGCGGAATGTACGGAATGGGTAACTTATATGGCATGGGTGGTAAATACGGTAATTCGTATGGTAAGTTTCAAAACATCTCTGCATATTTTGACTTTTTTTTTAAAAAAGATAAATCGACATATTGTATTTGCGGATACAATTCTGTTTGTTCAAAACAGTATACTGCCAGGTTTTATCAAATTACAGTATCTAAAGCGTTGCACCGTGGGCCATGCTTCGGTCATCTATAAAAGCGAAGGTTCTGTTCCATGGTTTGTAGTTGTTATTTAACCCCATCCTGCGAATGAGTTCCATGACTCTGCAACTAAAAGCAAAGCTAAGCCTTGATATTTTCCACAGCGATTCAGAAGACTAAATATAACATATATATATATATATATATATATATATATATATATATATATATATATATTTCAGGCAAATAAGAAGTTACGGCCACCAAACTAAGGATTGGACTTGATGATGGACCGGCAATGAATAAAGACAGAAGATGGATACGTGTACATCATTTTCTGATACAATATACATTTAAATTAAATAGTTTCACATTGTTTGTTAATAGTTTAGATACACCCATTTTTAGGTGGACAAATCCAGGAGACTTTTTAACGTATACGGCATTTTGAAATCAAGAACAGAATAATGAAAACATTAGAATGTCACTGTCCAGCTACCCCTGCTGAAAACTGTTTTCGGTGTTTATGACTGCTGATATGCAATGTTCTATTCCAAAACATCCGTACAGACAACTAAACGCGAATGATCCTAGCATTGATAATGGAGGTTAGGGCTGGGGTCAAGGGACGGGTTACCGATCCTCGCCGTGAAAATGGCGACAAAATGAAATGAAATGGGGTTTAACGTCCTACTGAAAATGCCTACAAGGGCTGGGGAAAGGGAAGAATAATAGTCGATAAACCTATTTTTACATTTCACATGTCTGATGATTTTATGTCTGTGATATGTTTACTAGTAAATGAAATAAAATGGGGTTTAACGTCCTACTGTTCTGCTCATAAACTGGGCTAATGGAGACGGGCATACGCTATACAGTGTGCTATGAGGGAAATTTTGCCCGGGCAGCGGCGCTACGGCCTACTCTTATATCGAATTCCAACTGGCGAGGGATCTTTTACGTGCACGCCAATATGTACACGGAACCTCTGTCCTTGTCAGACCCTCCGTCCTGCATCACTGACAAGGGGAAACCACGCCGGAAATTCTGGATGAACTTTCTCAGCCAATGCAGGGATCAAACACCCGACCTCCAGGCTGGCGAGCCAGCGTCTTACCCACTTAGCCACGTGATCCCCTTTTAGTCCTGTAGAAACCAGTTTTATAGTATACGTTTATTTTTGTAATAACCATAATGTGTTACAAAATCGAAGGTTTGATTACAAAAACTGGATTGTAATGTATTTTTGTTAGTTGTGACTTTGATAAAACTATCGTGGAAGATACATTAGTTCATTGTATCCTACTGAATGCAACAGAAGATTCCACCCGTTTGCCGGTAGGCGTGGGATGGAGCTTACCTGGGAAAAAAATCGGAAGTAGTAGGCCACGTCCCAATGGGAAATACTCTCTCCTACATTCTGGGTTCACTCATTCTGCTTCATGTACGAATTTATCATGTCTTAATGGTCGCATGGTTAACGCGTGCGCGTTCGATCAGAAGGTCTGCCATTCGACCCCCTTCTTGTACGTGACAAAGATTAAGCGAATTATTGAAACAAAATTGAACCATTTGTTAGTCCCGAAATGACCTGCTTTGTGTCGAGTGGGAAATGGAGATGAAAAACAGATTAATCGAAACTTTTGGACTGTCCGTCTAAATGTATTCTGCTATTTATGACTGTTGATTTCTAGTGTTCTGTTCTGAAGTCCAGGCAACGGTTTCACAAAGCATTCTCAGATTTAAGTTAAGAATTTACCCAACTTTCAATTGCTATGTTTATAAGAAATGTCTTTGACCCAGAAACACAAACATTTGCACATAGTTTCTTATTGATGTATTTGATACATTAAATCAACAAAATTTTTTTTAAAGGGCTATATTTTAGTTAAAGTAGCCAAGTCTCTAACTCAATATCATCCAAAACCTTGGACAATGAAAACACGAATTATTTGTCAATTTTAATCAACATTGGTGTTGTGAGCTTACCTGGAAAAGATGGGCTTCTGATATCCAATATTTAAGACAAAATAAACATTTTACGATTGGTACACGAATCGTGTACCATAATGCGTTTCAGTGCAAGTTGTAACAAGCGACTCGGAAGAACGGGGTTAGACATATTATTCCACAAGTCATGTCAAACGGTGACCTTCATATTCTTCTCTGGAGAGCATGCACAATAAATACTATCGGTATAGATTGGAATAACCAGACGCGAGAGTTTGCCATTCGATTGAGACTTCTGGCGTATTTTGCCGAACATAACTGTACAACATAACTGTTTTGAAATTAGGGTAAAAACGGAAACAATTGAATGTAAATCAGTTTTTTTTACATTCATATTACATTATTATATACGTTGCGACCCATTTCTGTCAATTTGTAGGTCCCAAATATTAACGATTTAACTCCTTTAAAATAAGACGAACAAATTTGATTACATTTTTAAGCCCGAGAATGTTTGGAGAAACCGGGGCCAGATGAACCGAATAAAGGATTGGTAATGGAGGCTAGGGCTGGTTCTAACGGAAATAATAATAGCCGGTAACGTTAGCAATCCTCCCAATGAAAATGGTGACAAGACTTGGGGAAGGGGGAGGCATATTAGCCGATATGCATACGTCTACATCTCACATGGGAGGTATATGGCAACGTGAAGTTGGCACGTTATTCGGGATTCGAATAACGAATAGCGAGTCAGCACGTTATTCGGAATTCGGGATTCGGCACTAAAACAGACCGGTCTACCTTCCATCCGACCATTTCCTCGCTACCCCCAACCGTAGGGGCAAGTGAACGTTGGGTGACCGACTAACAAGGAGACGACCGTTTGTCGAGCAAATAGGGTGTTGATTGGTTTGTTGCCGTGCACTGAGCAGTCCTCTCCTGCACTTTATTGTCGAATCCCGAATAACGTGCCGGCTCGTTATTCGGGATTCGACAATAAAACAGGTACTAAAACAAAACGATCTATCTTGCATCCGACCATTTCCTCGTTGGGTGACCGACTAGCACGGAGACGACTGTTTCTCAAGCGAATTGGGGGCTGACTGGTTTGTTAGAGTGCACAGAGCAGTCATCTCCATGCAATCATCTCTTTTATTGCCGAATCCCGAATAACGCGCTGGCTCGTTATTCTGGATTCGCGAATAACGAATAACATGCCAGTACGTTATTCGGGATTCGCCACTAAAACAAGCTGACCTAGGGTTTTGACTGGTCTGTTGGCGTGCACTGGGCAGTCCCCTCCTGCACTCGCCTGTTTTATTGCCGAATCCCGAATAACGTGCTGGCTGCTTTGTTGGGGTGCATCGGTTTTACTTCCGAATCCCGAATAACGTGCTGGCTCGTTATTCGGGATTCGACAATAAAACAGGTGAGTGCAGGAGAGGACTGCTCAGTGCACGGCAACAAACCAGTCAACACCCTATTCGCTCGACAAACAGTCGTCTCCTTGTTAGTCAGTCACCCAGCGTTAACTTACCTGTATGGTCGGGTGTAGCGAGGAAATGGTCGGATGCAACGTAGGTCGGTCTGTTTTAGTGGCGAATCCCGAATCCCGAATAACGTGCTGGCTCGTTATTCGTTATTCGAATCCCGAATAACGTGCCAACCCCACGTTACCGGTACGTATAGAGTAACTCCGGAACGAAAGGTTGCAGTGCTTCACACCAAATCTAATACACATTTCAAGTAAGCGGAAATAGTTCTGGAACAAAAAGCTGTAGGCGACTGATTATCAATAGGATTCGTCCTCTAGTAACCACAATGCTTTAAACCAAATTTGAAAAATATTATGTTAACAAATATAGCCTGTATTGTTTTCGGGAAAAGGGGCATAACTCCAGAACGGAAGGTCTCATGCGCGTTAAAATCAAACTCATCCGAAATATTTTGTTTCTATTAAAATACACATTATCACGAAATTCGAACCCAACCATGATTATGGCGTAACGGTGATATATCTGAACGAATTTTTAAAACCAAAATAAATGCGACCCCCCGATACCCATGAGCTAACAACGCGATTTTTCGTACAATAAGGGGCAATAATCCAGGCAGTTGCGGTCCAATAAGATCTTTGAGATATAAACATTTGTTATAAGTTTCATCAAAATCCCTTATCAGAAAACCATAGCCTCTTACAACTTAAATTATCTTCGTAAAAATTCATTAAATTGAACTTATTTTTTTTTCAGAAAAATCACACGCAGAAAAGTAGGTCGTTAAATATTATTCATTCATTCATTCACTCATAAATTCATTCATCTATTCATTCCCATGTAAATAGTTTATCCAATGTAAATTACTATTCCTCCTTGTCGGTTGTACGCAGCTTTGTCAAAGTTTCAATTATCAATAAATTTGTCAGTTTTTTTATGAAATCATTTAAAGTGTGTATATGATGTGCAGAATATACATATCATTAACTTTTCTCTTTTTTTTTTATCGATATTGCGATAGCTTATATCTTTAACGCGATCTAGTACACCGTTTATAAACTGGTTATATCCAATAAGAAGAAATCACAATGATCTAATTCATAACCGTGTACTGCATTCAGATATAAAATTAAAATCAAGCACAATCATCCTAACCTGTACAAAGGCCAGAATATTGGGGGAGGGGGGGGGACAACTTCTAATATTATTCGAATCACTGTTAGATTTGTGATACTTTAACCATGACATAGCATAATTTCTAGAACGTGGAACGCGGAAACTTAATAAACGGGATTCCCCGCTATTCTAATTTTAGATGACATATTAGTTTGTGTTCATTCAAAAACCGTCATTACAGGTAATTGGGTTGTGCAAGGTAAGATGTACTTATTAAATAACTTTTAAGAAAGGACTCTATGTGTGCGTAATAATATGTTCTTGTATTGAATGGCGCGTACGGTATTCACGCTTGTATCACCCCACGGAAATCACACCATGAAAATAACTATTAAGCATTCGTGAGGACACGAAGTATTGTGAATAGTGAATTGAAGCGTGTCATATTACAAAAACTAAATGGAATGAGGTTTAACGTCCTACTTTTCTGTACCGACGGGGCAATGAAAAATGGCATACGCCATGCTGTGCACTATATGAGGAAAATTTTATCCGGACAGCGAATTCCAAATGTCAAGGGTTCTTTTACGTGTACGCCAATGTGTACACAAGGCCTTGGTTTTAGTACCTTCTGAATGATTAGATCTGTATTTAAAATTCATGAAATCGACGTAAACCTTTTTCATAGATTGCAGCCATTTATCATTAATCGTTTATGAGATATCGTATTAATTTCCTTTTCTTTAGTTTATTTTACCAAATGCTTTAACATATTACAAAAACAACGTAAATGGGTGGATCTAGTCATCGAGGTAACCTTTTTCATAAAATGCAGATTGTTATGAGATATTGTATTAATTTCCCTTTCTTTCGTTTTTACCAGATGATTTAATATTATCACAAAAACAACCTAAATGGATGGGTCTAGAAATCCAAAAGCTACACGATTAATTGATATCGCATCTGGTGGACTACCTTCTGTTGCTCGAACGCTGGTAAGAGAAGGGCCAGAACCAGCAGATGTCGGACATATTACCCTAGGCGAAGAACTTAGTTCACAATATGTCTGGACACAAGATCATACACACAGAAAACAATATGCAGCCTGGAATCCAGAGTACGAAGACATTACGAAAACAAACGATTCTCAATGGACATCAGGATGCGATTGTGCAACATCACCCAAACAAAATGATATACATGTATGTTTGTATTATGTACCGATGCCTGACAATGGATGTAGTAAAATATCAGAATTAATCACTGGTTTACAGAAAAATAAACAATTAACATATTTTGACTTCGAGCGTGATTTTAGACCAAATAAATCCCTATTACATGAAATAGGTTATTTCCTCCACACAACAAAACGAACTATTTTGGTATTATCGCCCCTGTTTTATGCTTCAAATTTTCACATGTATGTTCTTGAAACCACAGTTTCATACTGCATAGACAACAGACTTGATGCGATCATTTGTCTGCTGGTTGACACAAGCCCTTCCGAGATACCGAAATGTTTGTCGGTATTTTCATATATCGACACCAAAGACGATGGGTGGTTTGTCAAATTAGTTCGTCAGCTAAACGTAAAAGGTAAATAAAATCACCTATTAATTTATTCAGACATAAATTTTATAAGCTATCTGAACTTATTAAATCAAATGAGAAGTGGTATTACATGTTTTAGAAGTTTTAAGTATACCCTGCATCATGCACACCTATTAAGTTGATCAGATATGACTTTTATAAGCTACTTGAATTTATAAAAGAAGAAGTGGTATCGGATATACTAAAGGATTAAGCATACTTTCCCCGACACGACACTATCACTATTTATTGCTGCATTTGCATAGTACACTGAAAAAAAACTTGTGTTGGATCTCAACACAAGTACTTGTGTGAAAATTATTCTACACAAGTTATGTGTTGTTTTGCATTGCATTAACACAAACTTGTGTTCTTTTTAATGCATTAACACAAATCTTGTGTTTTTTCCATATAATTAACACAAGTAATGTGTACCGTCAACAGATATTTTTTTTTTAAAATTTGAACTCCATACAAAGTCTTAATCCGGGGTCCACAAGTAAGAGAAAGGTATTTTTTACTCAGACAATATAGCCAGACAGACTTGAATGCTAATTGGTGTTAAGATGTCTGTAGTTAAAATAAAGTTGGGCCCATTAAACTGGTAGATCAAAGGCCTGTTGAGCGCTCATGCCCGGTGTGATTTTAACAATTGACTCCAAATGCGTTGACAAGAAAATAAGTAAAACTGTTATTGAATGTGATTGGTTGATAAAATCAACGTACTATAGGCTACATTTTGTCTGCGATATCATCTCGGTGGAAGCGGACATTAAATGAAGTGATTTCACACAATTAATTTAACATTTAACAACGTGCTGAAATGATTTTGGAGCAGTGATATGTTTGACAAATGTAAGCTAATGGTCACATAGGTTTGTGAATATTTATATAAAAAAAATAATACCATGTATGTAATTTAGCATCGATATTGTTTCTCTGTATAATGTTAGTATTTCGTTTCCTTAAAAAAAACTCCAACAATTTAAACCGGAAGTTCATGTTTATAATATGGCGCGGTCAGGAAAAAAATTTCGGCATGTTATTATCAAATCTGTTCAATTTTTCTGAAATCATGCTTAATTAACATTAGTTGTTCGGCGCTACGATGTTGTTCAAATACTTACATTACAGAATCACATTATGATTAAAGCAGAAACGGCTCGACTTGAACCAGCAGGTAAGAATATGTTTTGAAATTATATCTTGGGAGGTTGGATTGGCGCTGGAGACCCGATTGGCGGCCATTTTGATTCTTGTTTCATGATTTTTTTTATATTATAACGATTTTGCCAAGAGTAGACATAAACGCGGGCACAGACTAGAAAAAAATCTTTTTACACTTTTGTGTTAGTTGAATTGTAATCTAATTTATGTTTAAAAAAACAACCTTAAATCTAATAAGCAGACGGAAGATATGGACGAACAACAAGAAGAAGTTATGGAGGTCCCAACAACTGAACCTAAGGAAGTAGAAGAATCGTTTACAGCCGAAACCCGATACGATGTGCCAGTTCCGGTCATGGAGTCCTCCATCTCAGACGATGCCGGCGTTAGTGTCTTCTGCGACGAAGAACCCGTAGTGGTGTATACGCAGGTAGAAGCTGGTTCCTCCCGTGGCAAGTCCAAGTTGTTTGACAACCAAGGGTTTAGTTATACAATTAAGGTAGGGTGATTTATTTTACCTAGTTAACTACCTTGTATAGAAATGTATTTCAGCTACAAAATGTAAAGATAATTAACTCTAGTTAACCTAGTTAACTCTATAATAATAAATGAATTTAATATATTTTAGACAGAGAAGAGAACTACGATTTGGAGGTGTTCCAAAAGAAGCGGACCAACACGATGTCCGGCAACAGTAATCCAAGATGGTGATACATACCAACCAGGCTTAAAGAACCATCTTCACCCAGCAGAACCCGGTATACACACGGCACCAAGATAAAAGTTACAGTAGGTTTAAAAATTATATATCAATTAAATTAAAAATTTATATATGTGTGTAAATAAATAAAATATAAATAAACCAATAATATATTTGTAGTTTAATATGTTTTATCTTATCATTACAGGCAAAGCATGAAGCCAAAGGAAATGTTTTTACCAAGTCATGTTCCTCAATAGCGGAGAGAGTTTTATCCAGTGTCGGTTCTGCAGAAGAACCCATTCATAGCAGACCACCCATGGCAGCACTTGTAAGGTCGCTACAAAGAACCCGACAGACTCTGCGACCAAAAGATCCCACTGACGTGTTGTCAAGCGTAAGTATTCATGCAATTAAATACCCATGTATATAAGAATTTATTAACATGTAATTAAATGTACAATTTTATTTATTTATTAACATGTAATTAAATGTACTTTTTTATTTATTTTTTGTTTAAGCTTGACGAAGATTTCATCGATCATAGTGCACCGGGATTTTATCAAAAAAGAGTAAAAGTTGGGGAAAGGCGCCATCACATTTTTTGTACTGATAGACAGATGCAACTACTCGCACGCGCAAAAACTTGGTATATGGATGCAACTTTTCGGGTGGTGAACAAGCCATGGTCTCAGCTGTTTTCCATCCACGCCTTCATTAAGACTGGAGAGACCACCCGACAGTTACCATTGGTGTTTTGTGTAATGTCGGGTAAAAGCCAAGACGACTATTATAAGGTAAATAGCACTTACTGATTGAATTACTATTAATAGTAAAAACGGACTATTATTTGGGACCTTGAAATTGTCACAAATGGGTCGCACTAACAGCGACATTTGTTTCAGGCATATTTGTTTCATCGGTGACACGTCTGGTGTCATGTGAATGCAACGACAACAGCCTGGTTGATTGATTTGTTGATTGGAGTTCAGATGTCTACATTAAAATCGACCACTTTCAGGTTGCCGTATTCACGGCCAGGCAAGACCGACTTGAAATTTCTATAAATTTTTCTGGGGGAGACAGGCCCCAACAAATCCCTCGACGGTGCGTTTCACGACTTTGGCGCATGACGGTGACCTTGAAGAGACGTCGAAAACCATTTAATAGACATAGTAAAAGTCATATCTTACGAGATTATCGCTGGTCTTGTCAGAAAATGCTATTTTATATATGACCAGTTTGTGTTTGAAAAATTTAAAAAGAAATTATTTATTCTCCCACCATTAAAGCACACTAATTACGAAATATCGCTCTCAGAAACTTCATGGTTTCTTTTGCAATTTGTTTGGGGTAAGACGTTATATAAAAAAAATCAATCTGTCTACCACGCAAATTTAACAGATACAAATGCATGTTATTCCACAGGTAGACAGACAGGGCCTCCTTTGAAGGGACTCAGTAAAGGGAACGCGGTTGGTTTAGAGTTTGTCTGACCCCTTTGAATATTTGCGTCTCATCTCCAATGAAAACATTCATGTTGCTCTCATGCTGTTCTCAACCAGAATCAAACATATATCGTACCTGAGATTTGTTAGCATGTTCCACACAACCCAACATTTATCGGCACCGGGATTAAGGGTGTATATCTTTGTTTCTAACGCTTATTGGGAATACGCCACGGAAACTACAATAAAAACTTATTTACAAAAACATTCTAAAGAGTGAAAACTGACATATTTCAAGCTTTACTGCATTTAAAGAAATAATTTAAATCAGCCGGCTGAAACCCCGTCTCCGCTATTTGTTCAGTCATTCTTTAGGTATAGTGCCAGTTTCCACCGACAATGATATTGCAAACAAGTGTCCAATCTATAAAAGCATACATTCCTACAAAATGTTTCTTTAGTCAAGTGAAACAATAAATTCATAACTATGCGAGGGTGTGGTGAGTAAATTCGTGGTAACAAGTCTGAAAAGGGTAATGTGACATAGAACAAGGTCACATTGATGTTGACAAATACGTAAGACGATATGAACATCAACTAAAAAGATATGTAATGTGATTCAGCTGCAAGGTGATATATGCATATATGCAGCATAGATAATTAAAACTTCTATTCAAGTTAAACCAACTGTATCTATTTATTTAAGTCTTACGTCGAGCTGAATACATTTTATGATTTATTGTCATCTATTGGTGGTTAACAGTGTGTAACTAAAAACTAAAATTGGATCTTATTATTGCCAATGATATAATGTACATGTAATAGCAAGTGTATATACATTTTTTGTTCAGTCTGTACACAGTAACATATCTGAGAAACATATTATTATCATTTCTGCCCAAGGCTCCCTGTGCCTTATAGTTAGCAGTGATACAAGGCAATTACCAATTTTCCATGTTCTTGGCCTGAAAAAATAAAATAATAAAAGTCAAGTTTTTATTATTATGCAAGTGGAAAAATACAATTATTCATAGTATGATTTGAATAAATACAACTGATTTGAAGTTGGAATTATTATTTGTCTAAGATGACTGGGCATTTACAAATTGAAATAGCTACTCTTCATCAAGAAAATACATGAATATTTTTCCCAATTCACCTGGATTTTATTGTAAGTCTTTGTACGTGAAATAGCTTTATTTAACGTCCGCTACCACCGAAGTGATATTGCAGAAAATTAACAAATTCGGATTCCCTGTTAAAGGAAATTGACTGCACTATCGCTGGATTGTATTATATAGGTCATGTCAGTTTTTTTCAAAATGGCGCCCAGAACACAAAACAAACATTGCAATTCAAGGCGGACTGGTGTCGAGGCTGTATACTAAGAATGATTTTTTGAATATTTAATCACACAGAAACACAAGTATGCACATGCAGTTATGATATAATATTAAATTAGCTTACCTCAAATACCTCGAAATATACTGTTTGGTCAGTTTGTCCGCCCGCCATATTTCTATTAGTCACACATCCTTCGGCCAATTAAAATGGACGTATATTTTGTTTTAACCGAAACGAAAAATTTGCGTTATAAATAGTAAACGAGCTTGATTGACCGACCACTGCTAATGTTTTTTCCTGAAACGGTATAACTGCAATCAACACACGGCCGCCATTCTCGATGATTTACAACTCACTTTTTTTCTCATCCACCAAAGAACCGTTAGGTTTCTTTGAACATACTGTAATAACATTGGGATTATCAGTTAATCAGCTTTAATTATCCCGCTTTGTTCGTTGCCATTTCTTATATTTTCCACAAAAAAACTTTGCCTTGTACGCACTAATTTATCAATTGGTATTGCCATCTACGACAAGCATGTCAACGTGCAGCTCACGGATTATCGTTAACAATTTCTAGGGGCTTGTTAAAAAAGATTGCATGTCGTGTAAATATTTATTATGTTTTTTGTGTAGGTCATTTTCAAATAAATTCATCAGCATATTATTCGTTTTAAATAAATATAAAACTTTTATGAGAAACGATGATTATCAAAGAACCGTAAGTGCAACTAATGTTTTATCGTTTGGTTGAGCCTTTTACTAACCACGTGTTTCATGTTATTAAATATTTTCTTTCGTGTTTTGAATTGGCCTATTTCTAATAAATTATCCCGAGTCCCAAACGTCGTTAACCAGAGTCCCAAACGACGTATACCAAAGTCCCAAACGTCGTTTACCCGAGTCCCAAATGTCGTGGTCATATTTTTTTGAGTCCCAAATGACGCGAGTCCCAAATGACGTGAGTCCCAAATGACATGTAATCCGTTGTTCAACCTCTGTGAGTCTGTGTAATATTTAATATTAGGCCCCATTTTTGCCTGATTCAGTCACAGTTAATAAATAATGGAACTAGAATCAGCCTGTGGAAGTTTCTCTATAGTTTTATTATTTTTTCCAGTCAATGATGATATGTGACTCTTTCCACCTTCCAGCAATAATTATTGAGAATTTACCAAGGACTCCATTGGCATTGAATCGAAGAAAAACAGTTAAAAATTTCAATTAATTTTTCTATTTTCTATTTTTTTTTTTACCAATGTCCTACAATGATTAGTTTATGTGAACATACAATCCAAAATAAAGTATTTATATGGCACTTACATGCAACAGAGAGAGAGAGAGAGAAATGACATAAACAAGGCCTTACATGTACTTGTATTTGAAGAATCAAGTAGTCCATGTTGTGCCTATATGCATACCGGTAATCAACTACGACGAGGATTAGCCTACTTCCGTTTCCACCCTTTCCCTGCACACTGTCTCATTCTACATGTATTAAAAATTGGTATGTTACTGTAATATTAATTATTGTAATATTAATTATTGTAATATTAATTAGTTGTTGCAAGATGGGTCCTTATATCTACTTAGCCTACAGACGCTAGGTCGTTTCGGGAAAAAGGACAGGTAAGGTTATATTTAATATGAATAATTCGCTTACGGGTATGGGTATTTAGCAAAAGGAGGAAACAAAAGGACCCAGAGATTAGAGAAGGTATGCTTCAATTTAATATGAATAATTCGCTTGGCGTAGGGGTACATGTATTTAGAAAACGGATTGGACAGGCGACTCTACTCCTTGAAATTGAAACCATGTCACTTAACACAATGACAGACCCTGTGATTTCATGCGCATGCATTACCTACTAGACCATTCCCCCCAGCCCCACCCCATATCGAATAAAAGTATGACTTATTTCAAATATGATATTTACATATAAAGAAAGTAGAGAGACTTCAATCTTACTAGAAAAATACTAGATTACCTGAAATGAAATGGGGTTTAAAGACAACGTCCTACTGGTCAGCTCCGACTGGTCTAATGCATTGTGCTAAGCGAAAATGTTTGTCTGGGCAGCGACACTATGGCCTACTCTCATACCGAATTCAAACTGCCAAGAGAACTTTTATGTGTACGCCAATGTGTACATTGGATCTCAGGGAAAACCACTCTGCAAATTCAAGATGAGCTTTCTCGGTCAACCCCAAGAGATAACCTGTGGCCTCCATGCTAGTGTGCCAGCACCTAATTTACTCAGTCACCATGGCCGTCTTCTAATTACTGCGACAGTTAAACCATGTGACAAACAAGGATTATTAAGATAGACTTTTATGGCTTAGGTAGTTCCTTGGGATTAAAACTTTTGATACATATAGATACATTAGTTTCAATTTCATATCACACAGTTTGTATATATGCTAAGGTAGCTTTAATCGTAAATTACATATCATGTATTTATTTTTTCAGTTTCAATATTGGATGTATATGCAAATCACCCAGAAAAAGATCATGTAATAACAAAAGAAATTATAAAAGAAAAAAATGGAAGAAGAAATGGCTGGAAAAAATGATGATAGAGCAGCTTTTTCTTGGTGGGTAACTATTCAATTCTAATAGAAAAGATTGTTATGCTATTTTGAAATCTAAAATTCAGTTTAGTATAGTAAAACTGTACACGTCATGTATGAGCAGAGACAGAATCTTAGCTATATGTAGATATCACTGTCTCATCTGTGGCAAAGCAAACCAACACATGAAACAAAACAAATGTAATTAAATTAACATTTTTTTAATTAATCAAAACTGTCTAGTCAATTTAAGCCAACTAATACATTGCCATTTTTTTTTCAGTTACCCACCTCGGAAGATCAAGTTGGAAAGGGCTATTGATATTGTGGAGACGTTTTCTCACAGATCTTGCTTATCAGACAAAGACTATGTAAGTACCATGCATATTTGCTTTTTAAATCAGGAACTGGTTCTATACACTTGGTGGGGGGGGGGGTTGGATGGACGTTAAACCCCATTTCTCTCTCTCTCTCCTAAATATTGAGATTTTTGTTTACTTTTAAACTGCATATATTCAAGGTATCAGGAGCTTTTTATGGCTCCCGTACAATTTTATAAACATAAAGGACTGTACCTTTTGAATATTAAGCCATCAAATTATTTTATAATTTTGAAAATGAAATGAAATGGGGTTTAACATCCTACTGTTTTGCTCATAAATTGGGCTAATGAAGACGGGCATACGCCATACAGTGTGCTATGAAGGGAATTTTGCCCGGGCAGCGGCGCTACAGCCTACTCTTATATCGAATTCCAATTGCCAAGGAATCTTTTACGTGCATTGTTGTCAATTGAAATAAAATAAGAATGGGTCCAAAAATAATTAGACATTGCCAAGTAAATAGGTGCTGCCATGATGTAGTAGGGAATCTGGATTTGCAGACAATACATGTATGAAAGGGTGAATAGTTGACCTATTATGAGACTTCAGTCCCAAATATCAAGACTTTTTTCTGACTTCTAACTCATTTGATTTGAGCATAATAATCTGCCTGGGTCTGTAACTGGACAAGACACAATAAGAGTTACGGAAAGTTGAAACCAAATAGAGACTCGGTCTCGATGTGGCAAAATAAATTGTTTATTTAAACGTTGTGAACCATAGAAAGTATTCTTATTGCCTACTTTTTATTTTTTAGGCTGGAACACCATTGAAAGAGTATTTGCTGTATGATAACAACAAGAAAACCCAAGCATCAATTTATTTTATACTTCTGGGAAAGAATGCATTTGACCCAATTTTTAAATATTTATTTTTTGTTTTTAATGTTAAATTTTCTTCCAAAACACAATTAGATTTTAATTCTCTTCAGAAATGTATGTATAATATAGCAAGTAAAGTGACATATATATCACTTAGAATTTGGTCAGAAATCATAAAGTATTTAATAGGCATTACTAGCAACCAAATGTAGATCAAATACACCCAGAATTACAAAAAACCTTGACCTACATAAAGGTGACTTTCCCTTGCTTATGAAATGAAATACGGTTTAGTATCCTACTTTTCTGTGTTCTTAGAGTGATTCTGCCATACACCCTAATCTTATATCAAATATTTCAACTGTCAAGGGTTCTTTAACGGGAACCAGGGGGGGGGGGGCATGATTAACACGTACACATTTGATCAGGAAGTCTGTCATTGAGTCAAATAATTCAATTGTCAAGGGTTCTTCTAAGTGAACGCAGTGGGGATGGTTTCGATTCCGGGAATGGGGGAGGGGGTGGTGAATGGCCGAATGGTAAGTACGTGCGTGCGGTATCATACGGCCTGTCATTGAGTCAACTGGCGTGGTTTCGAATCCCCGGTTGTACGTGACAAGGAGTAGGGTCGCCTGTCCAATCTTGTGGGTTTTCTCCGGGACCTCCGGTTTCCTCCCACTGCTAAAGACCCCTATGCGCAACGAATTATTGAAATAAAATTAAACCATATGTTAATCCCGAAATGACCTAGTTTGTGTCAAGTGGACGTTAAACCCCATCTCTCTCTCTCTCTCTTTCGATTCCGGGCTTGTACCCAATTATCCCTTGCCATATCCAACACTACTGACAAGTGGGAACTATGCCGGAAAATCCAGTTGAAATTTCTCGGCCAACACCTTATACTCACTGAACCACTGTGGCTTATGACTTGTGATTGTATATAAATTTTTTGTACATATGATATTTTTTTATTTCAATCCTGTAATCTTGATGTTTTGCTTCTTTTATTTACAAAATATTCATTTTGTTTGGGGTTTTTTTAATGAGGAAAAGGTTTTACATCATTTTATTACTCCTGCAAAATAGTGCATTTTTCATTTGTTAGTTTTCTGTGTATATTAGTTATTTCTATATGTCTCACAAATCACTTGTAGTGTGATTTTGTAGCACTTTTCAGTTTTTGAAATTGTTTCAATTTAGTGCATAATTAATCTTAGTGCTTGGTTTGGATGTTATTAAATTTAGATATTATTTGAATTATATATTTTGGAGTATGGGGTAGGGATACTGTGTACATATCTTTATATTCTCAGTTCTTGTTTTGGGGTAAAGAACAATTTATATAGCTATTTTATATTTTGTGATAGGTAAAGTGTGTGGGGTTAAGAACAATTTAAATAGCTATGTTATATTTTGTGATGGGTAAAGTGGGGTGTGTGTGTGTGTGTGTGTGTGGGGGGGGGGGGGGGGTCATTATATATAACACAATATAATTAGTATTAGAATTCTCTGTTTTTCGGTTAACATTTCAAATATCTATTTAGTTTTGATGTATTAATTTACTTTTTCCTATGATTTTATGAATAAATAATAATCTTACAAAAACAAAAAAAAATTTTGTTTCCTTCTTTTATCAAACTTTACAGGTCTAACAGAGCAAAGAGATGGGTCCTGCATAAAAAGGTTGCTATACTGTATATAAATTTGGGAAAAACACAAGTTTCAGAAATTTCAACACAAGTTTCAAAAATTTCAACACAAGTTTCAAAAATTTCAACACAAGTTTCAAAAATTTCAACACAAGTTTCAAAAATTTCAACACAAGTATTGTGTAGATTTTCACACAAGTTTCAACACAAGTTTGTGTTGTTTGATAAATTTTAACACAAGTTTTGTGTTGTTTCAACATTTAACACAAGTTTTGTGTTGTTTCAACACAAGTTTGTGTTGTTAAATAGAGACACCTTACTTGTGTTGAAAACAACACAAGTTTGTGTTGTTTCAACACAAGTTTTTTTACAGTGTATATCTGATTACCGTATTGTCGATTACTTGGCATAAAACCCGAGGGGAATAAATCGTAACTTACAGATTATCAACAGGTTGGAAGGACGAACGGATGTGGGGTATTTTGACAATTGTATGTATATTGTAATTATTATAAAACAAATGTGGGATTACTGTTTTTTTACAATATGTTTATCAATGTGATTAAAACACAGATCTACATATCGTGTGTTTATACCTAAGAAGATCTGATCGGTTGTAGTGGAAGGTCGTGTCAGAGGTTATACGAGCGGCTTTTGACCCTATGATGTCAGCCATTTAATTAACCAATCAGGGTTAAAGTTTCTAAAGTAATACCCACAGTTCCCGCACACTTTACGCCAAGAAATCGTGTTAACAGACCGTGTCTGTCTACGAAATCACCCATGGTGGAAGTGGACTTAGAACTCCAGGAACGAACGAAGGATCTGTGTTTTACTCAGATTGTATGGCTATCAGATTGGATGTATGTTATCAGATTGTATGGCTATCAGATTGGATGTATGTTATCAGATTGTATGGGTATCAGATTGGATGTATGTTATCAGATTGTATGGCTATCAGATTGGATGTATGTTATCAGATTGGATAAAAGTAAAGTTATTTTGTACGACATATAAATCATTTGTTTCAGTGGAGAAGATCATGACATCTGTTTGTACTAAAAATGGTGAGGAATGGTACAAAATCTAATGTATCCTTTACATTTGATGGACTGACAGATAACACATTTCTTTACATTTTCGTGTTCCCCCTGTGTCAGCCAACATATACATGTTGTTTTGCCCCAGTTACACATGTAGATAAGGCGGCTTATTCAACAGCGGGGTAGTTCTTGGGGGATATGTTTGACCAGGTGTGGAGTCCAAAGTGATAGTCCACTCCATTCGGCAATACTAGTCGCGACTAGTTTCCGGATCATCCATTACTAGTTGGAATGGAAGTTGTCACGACCAATTACAGTACCATTTCTGACTAGTTGTACGACTGGCCCTTAACAATATTGAATGGGTACCTCATCTTGCGACTAGTTGTCGCGCAATCAACCTGTTGGAGACGGATCTCATTGTTTCCGCGCTAGGCTTACATTGCAGTAAAAGCAACCAAAGCCGAGTAGAGCACTCGACTGGTATGGTAGCGGGTGGTCGCTCTCCGAATATGACTAACATAAGATCTTGGATGCTTCCTTATTTCAGAACCCCCACACGGATGTGATTGAGTGATTATGTAATATACATGAATATGAAATATTATTTAAGGTCATATAAGCATGGATGATGTTGAGACTCTCCGATCTGTTCATTCTGACCCACCAACTATTCGAAGACCGCTACCTGAAAATGTTAAGCTGCAATTGCAGGTTAGATTCGCTATTTCCTATAAAAAATTATTTAATAAAAGGAAAAGAATTGTATGAATTCAAATTGTCGAAGCATTACGTATACATATTTCAGTGTACTTTTTGCATGTCCCTATTCCACCTTAAATTGAGAAACATCGTAGAGGCATGTTGCACAAATGACTTTATTTTTAATCTCCATCTTGTATCCAAACACAGCAGTATAAAATCCGTCATAAATGAACCCAAAATATTTGGGCGATTCTAGTTCTGGTACTTTTTATCGATATCGATAATCACGAATATAATTAGTGTTTTTAAATATTACCGATAATCGATACAGATTTTCGAAAATCAATACTGGTATTACTGTCTATTTTCAAATTAAAATTTAGTTGAAATACAAACCTATTAAAATATAAGATAGTGGAGGTTTTATTTAATGTTAAGTGATAGTATTTATTCAGGAATTGTTATATTTGGTAGTTTTATTGTAAATAGACTTGTGAACAGAGAGTAATAATTATGTAGACATTATAGGTCCCAGATCAGTGATTACGTCAATTTATAAAATATTGCCTTTTCTCCCTCCCCTCTTTGCAAGGCAATGTTTGCTCACTTTCTAGAATCGAAGAAGTGAAGTGGCAATTACTTGAATTGTCAGATATCCTCGCACAGTCTCACATAACAACTTCTGGTCTTCAATGGAATTGTTAGTGAGCAGAAATTCGCCCATGTAACTGTTATCATTCGTCACTTCAGTCAGTTATATAGAAGGATAACTCGTGTTTTCCTTTTGTGTTCGTTACTTCCTTTTGTAGAAACCTTCATTACCCATCTATCGTAGCAATGATCTCTGTGTTAAAGTTATATTTGGAAAGTATTTAGCGAGTTCTATCACATAATATGTGATAATAAATGACACCAATATTGTCCTTGAAACCTCCTGGGGAGATCATTGCTTGTGATATCACCAGAGTTCATCTTTATTTATAAGAGTTACCTCTCTTTAGTCTCGGTAGATTATAAATCGCAATTACGTGTATTTAAAATAAAGATGTGGCGTCATCCTTTGATGTTGGCGTATCATTATTTCAAATAATATTACGGGCACATTTTTTTATGCTAGTTAAAACTTTGGACCCGTGTGACGTATTTCATTGCAAAGCACACGCGAGTTTCTGTATGTTCAATGGTCTCGAGCTTAAGACATTAAACCACACGTAAGGAGGCCAAACACTCCTAAAATAATTACCCATTTTGTTAACAATCTTAAAACTGGATATCTAATTAATATTTTCATTCGTAATTCCGTAACATGTTGTTCTTTTCAGACGTGGTTCAGATCCAAAAGCATGCATCCGAAAATAAATGCAACAGAGACAGTAAGTTATCATTTTTCTTTTGGTTTGGGGGTAATTTCGCATAGAGGGGTCCATTATGTAACTTCACGGGAATAGCTTTATTATCAGGAACACATATACAGAATAAAATAAATTATCATGCATATATCTCACGGTACATAACTAAGGGCTAGATCATAGGGCACACACCTTAAGCAACCTTCTCTCCACCTCTCTGCCTCTGGGAACTATGGTGGCTCAGTGAGTACGACCTTGGCGCGCTAACCTGGAGATTCTGTGTTCCATCATATTTACCTTGATCATCACTTTTCGAATTTGCGTCAGTCTCAGTCACATTCTTATTTTGTCGCACATTTCTTTGCATTTTGACATTCCGTTGCGGTTTCACATATTGTCGCGCTTTCACATCTCGTCGCGCTTTCATATTTCGTTGTGGTTTCACATCTTGTCGCGGTTTCACATTTTGTTGCGGTTTTATATTTCACCGCAGTTTCACATCTTGTCGCGGTTTCACATTTTGCCGATGTTTCGCATTCTGTATTATTCCGACTCTTCATTTTCCTACTAGGGGGTTCAAGCATGTCGGATATTTCTTTTTGGATTTTACGGCTTTTTTTCTGCTAATGCTTCCCACTGCAGAACTCCTGTAACCAGTTCGCTTTATTATGGTCAGCTGCTGCTGTGGTAAACTGAAACTGGAAACGTATTATTACCTTAAAATCTGATCTAATGATACACATTGGGCCAATCTGTGCGATGTACCCATAAAAATCACACTACAAAACTGATAAACTACCGTTCTAGAATGTACGACCCCAGCACTTCTGTATCGTATGCAAACCCATCACTTGTGTGGAGAAAAGGATATTTCTCCCTCTTACCTGGAGCAAGAGGTCTGCGATAGAATGGCCCAGTTTTGTCTCCAATACTTTCTAAATATAGCCCCCCCCCCCCCTTTGCCTAGAGAGCAAGAGGTCTGCGATAGAATAAGAGGTCTGCGATAGTATGGCCCAGTTTTGTCTCCAATACTTTCTAAATATAGTCTTCCCCCTTTGCCCGAAGAGCAAGAGGTCTGCGATAGAATGGTCCAGTTTTGTCTCCAATATTTCCTAAATATAGTCTTCGGAGTTTTATATAGAATGACATTTTCTTCTTGTATGTACTGTTTAACATTCCTGAAGAAGATAATACATACTTTAAGAAATTATATCACAAAGAGACAATAGTATAAAATTGTATAATATGAACTGAATAGATAATTAAACGGACCCAAAAACCCGTAAAACTCGCTCGTGGATCAACTAAAATGTATTCATCAAGAAAGTACATACATTTGACACACCTAAACTGATTCCTGCCACCATCTTTCAATTTACATTAGAAATTCTTGAAGTTCTTACCCTGGAATACTGCAAAGTCACTAATATCATCCTTACCAAATTTAAATTGTTATATAAACAAATTTTTATATGCTCGTCCTCGGCACGTAATCCAAATATCTTGATTCCTAGACATTTTCTACACTAAAACCTTAAGAACTCCTTAATTGCAACTTGTCTTGATTTAATGGTTGTGATTTTTGTTTGTGAATGCTAATATACCTCACAAATTTAATGATTTCATCTGTGCGTCTAATGTGGTACGGAAATTAGCAAAGGTGCCTTTCTTATCATCAAAAATGTTCAAATCAAATCGTTTGTAGCGATCTCGCAAGTGTAGCCACTTTGCAATGCATATATTATTCAATGTATTAGCTGGATATGGTGTACCATCTTGCCTAATGATTTCACAAACAAATCTACACATCCGATAATCACAATCTGATTAAACACAGATGTATATTTCGTTTCATTTTTTTTAAACTTTCGATGGCCTCCACTACATGAAGATCTGACCGGTTGTAGTGGAAGGTCGCGTCAGGGGTCATACGATGGGCTTTCGACCCTATGCCGTCAGACAATTGATTAGGCAATCAGCGTTAATGTTTCTAGTGGAATACCCCGTGCACTTTACGCCAAGAACTCGCCGTAACAGACCGTTTCATTAGCTTATCCCTCACTCCAACCAGAACGCGGGTTATATAAGAAATCTTCCAGTTCCTAGTGTAGTAAAGACAAGTAAAACGAAATTTTAAACTATAAAAAAACAAACCGAAATAGAATCATCTAATACACAAATTGAGTATTTTCCCTCGTGCTTGATTCGACCCCTCTGCATAACTTGTATTTCTTATTCTGTGGTGGGGCTTCTTAATCGGTTCTCGCGTTGTTTGCGAGTTAGCTCTTATTCTTCGCAATCATCGGCATGATTTATAGAACTGATATTCTCGGTCTCAGGAATATAGATTTGTGACATGGCAAAGTCGGATTCTTCATCGAATTCCCCATCCATTTTCTTCCATCCACTTTAATCGACACAACCGGAACGCAGAAAAAACAACAGGAAATGACTATTGTATAAAACGATTGGATGGCATTAATTTGCTTTTTACAACCAATCAATAACTCTAGCTGGTATGACTATATTCCCTGATCTGATTTAAACCTTGAAATGTACTGACATCCTTTACCTGAGTAGAAATAAGCGTTTGCGATGAGATGATTGACGGGCCCTGAATGAAAAATGCTTTTGAAATTGGGAAAATTACAAAAAAATGTATATTTCTCGAAAAAGTATAAGTCAGTTATATACCCATGTTCCCGAATAAACGACCGCGAGTTTTACAACATCTAGACGTTGCTACATGCTTTGCAATTCCCAAACTTACAGCTACGTTATCTCCATTTACCGCATACACGTGAAAGGCAGCGTCCAATCAAACATGGCGACCTCCACGGAAACCTTGACATTGAGCGACCCTTGAACTTTGTGCAATTCGATTAACACAGGTAGATGATCGAGGAATCTGATAGGTTCTCAAGCTGGGTCAGTACCCAGTCGAAATTAGTGCCTGAATATGCGGGGTGTTACGTGAAGATATACGGAGTTAAAGCGAGATCAAGCCTTGAAGATGTTATATACCTTGCTTTCTCGGTGAATGGGTTGATACACGATCTCTTTTTTGAGTGGACATCTCACTCAAATAGAGAGGGCATAACAACACATACACCTTGAAAACAAGGTACTTTTCTGCTTATTGCCCTTGTGGGACTAATATGATTTGCAACTGTGGTATTTTTCTTATTCTTAATTAACAATAATAACGTATGTTTTAGAACTCGCCTGGAAGAAACCAAATTGGCGATAAACAGGCGACTATGGACAACAATGTGATATTCGCCCGAGAGTTACGAAGAGAAATGAAAGATGTGTATGAAAGCTCAGAACAATTCAAAACAGAATCATTAAACATAGCTGAAGGGGACGTTCTGGAGGTACTGGATGGTGCAAAATTTGGAGATGAAAAAGCTTTAATTCGAAACAGTCAAGGACAGACTGGACATATTCCATATCGTTTGCTAACACCTTCCTTATTTCCTCTCCCAAGCAGTGCTGTTAAACTACTAAACCAACCAATTTCAAAAAGCAATAATAAAGAATTTCGCGAGCGGCTAGAAAAAATGGGTCTTAAAGTTCATGTAGCTGTTGAAAGCTTCCACGGAAATACCGGTTTGATAAAAGTTAACAAAAATGACATTTTGCTCAAAATTTCTCAAACTGAAAATCAGGTGAAGGTTAAGAATTATCAAAATGTAATTGGCTATATTGAGGAGAAATTAATTAGAAACCTAAGTTCAAATGCGACATGGTTTGTTTAAATCTGATAAACCCATTGTGTCAAGGTTGGCAGCGAGAAATATATATATCAATTATTATCCAGCATTTTCATGTGCAATAACCATTAATAGACATTACTTAATTTTTATTGTTAGATATTTTACAATAAAAACTACATTATATTAAAGTGTATTTACCATGGACTAAAACGTGTCAGAAATGTATTATCTTACAGTATTTACCATGGTAGAGAGAGAGAGAAATGGGGTTTAACGTCCACTCGACACAAACTAGGTCATTTCGGGACTAACATATGGTTTAATTTTATTTACATAATTTGCTTACGCGTAGGGGTCTTTAGCAGTGGGAGGCAACCGGAGGACCCGGAGAAAACCCACGAGGTTGGACAGGCGACCCTACTCCTTGCCACGTACAACCGAGGATTTATTTACCATGGATTAAAACCTGTAAGCAGTGCATCACAAGTATATTATCTTACTGCATTTACCATGGAATAAAACTTGTGCGAAGTGTATTACTACTTATTACAACTATATAATCTTATATATGTAACCACTTAAGTTTTATGTGATTTATTAAGCGTAGATAATTTAACAAATATTTACAAAAAAAAGAGATTAATCATAGCCTTCACTGAATTAAATCTACAATAAAACAATTGCGGCATATATACAATTAAACTATAAAACTTATTAAAACAGTGATTCTTATTTGAGGCCTACACGCGATAGTTGGGTTGTAAAGAGCTTAGTCATTGAACAGCTGTTGATCACTCGAGACTATTGATAGACTTATATTCACAGTCTAAATTATATATGAGGCAACCCAATAGATATTAGTTGGATGAATTAGTCTCATAAACTTACACAGGAAGGCAATGTAGCCTTTGGGGGAAGGCCACACAGGGTCCGATTGTCATTTGATTAACAAATAGTTCTAGCTATAGACTGTATGTTTTTACAAGGACAATCAGCCATGCCGGTTCGGCTTTACCTTAACACGTATCTTTCATGAGAAATAATTAGGTAAATAAAATAGATTTTAAATACATTAATGTTAGAAAAGATGTGTTTACCACAATGCCAATCATTAATGTAAGATAGGTTTTTAAAACATATACATGTATGACTTATGTCGGTCATATAATCTTATCTGTATGTACTATGGAATAAAGCCCGTGTTTTACTACTACTACTACAGCCTCATAGATTGCCTAGTGAATTACCCGCTAGCAGTAGGTCTTATCACCAGTGGATTAATGCAGTCTCACTTCCCAGTCTCTGTGGAAAATAGCCCCGCATACTTTCTGGGTTAATCCAACCTCCCACTTGATGCCCGAGAATATGTTCCAAACAAATAATTCTTTTGTGGGTAAGGGTTTTGAGCCATGGCGGAAAGGTGGGGAAGAATGTATACGGCATGGGGTCTTACTCTATATATTGGTCATGTCCGGAATCAAACCTGACCGAATGACTGACAGTGACGCAGTCCGAAATTCCCTATCTAGGGTGCCGAGGTTTGGATTATTGAAGGTTATGAAGTGAGAACCAAAGGTGCGAATTTGGTACGGGGGATGGGAGCATGGTCCCCGTAGAAACGTCAGTATAGTGCAATCTCAGTCAATGTCATGTCAAAGTTTGATACAAAATTTGGTTATCTTGACATTGTATAAGAATGCAACAAACATTTGTTAGATATATATGGATATATTAAAGTAATTGGGAGGTAATTGTGTTACTATTTCCGGGGTCAATGATTTTTAAGTGTGAGAAAGATAACCTATGATCGTATAATAGTGAGTTGACAACCTATTAAGCAAAAGACATAGAAATATTTATGTTTTGACTTTCTTAGAAAATATGAAATTGTATTTTAACATAAGCATTTATAAACACAGATCAAAAACACCTGGGTCCGGTAAATGGTATTCAAAGTGTTTAGTCTTTTAGTGGTATTCAAAAGTCAGTTTACGGTCTTTAACTTAATATCATTCACAGTCTTCGATATTGCAAACAAGACTTAATGGTCAATGTAGATCAACATTTATGTTATCTTACCGTGAAAAGATGAGCTTTATGATATCCAATATTTAAGACAAAATGAAAATTGTAAAGCTGGCACGCGAATCGCGTGCCAGAATGCCTTCGTGCGCCATTTGTAACGAGCGACTCGATGAACGAGGCTATACATATCCCACAGGAGAATACTTTTGGTGTAGACTGGAATAAGACGCCAAAGACTACCGAAAATGACCGATTAGAAATTACAGTAAAACTGAAACGATTGAATGTAAGAATCAGTTTATATACATTCATATTACATTATTATATGCGTTGCGCCCCATTTGTGTCCATTTCTACGCGCCAAAAATTAGGGATTGAGCTCCTTTAAGTTAGAAAAATCCACGTAACTTTTAGTGTCCTATGGGAGGTACCGTAATTAAAGGGACATTCGTCGTGTGAAAATTAATTAATATTTTGGCTTTATTTAGTTTCTATCTGAGTGAGTTGTGAATTATGAATGCAAAAACCCAGGTCTATAGCCCAATTTTCCTCCTTCCTCTGCTCTGTCCTCTGGCTGTCATTGATGACAGGTCATATGATATAAAGCGCACACGTAAGACCACTCGGTCACACCCCGATTGACAAGGTGATTTTATTACTTTCAAAATACGTCTGCATACCGTTGCAGCACGATACTATTTATCCCAATACATTATTTAGTATGGCGATAAATCCGCTATTACACGTTTTATGAACGCTTTCACCAATCAACTCATCAAACTGTCATCACGTGACACACCTACGCTCACCAACCCATCGTCTGCTTGTGAAGTAAAATCATATCTCATTCGGTCTCGTATTAACAAGCAAGATGGCTGCTATTAGTATAGAGGAGATGTTAACTAAAACTGTAAAGAACCAGAAAGGAGAAGATGTCGCTGTTTCATCTTTTACTGGTAGCGACAAGGTTGTTGGTAAGTATACGTTGTACTCATTGCATATATTGGCCTAGTAGAAAACTGACAAGCCATATTATTGTACTCGTGAATGTATGCAACCACAAACAACAATAGACATAGCATATATTTAACACTGTTGTGAGACGAGATAACGGAAGTTTGTATGACTGTAACGTGTACATGTTGTCATGTATGTACCCAACATATTGAAAATGACTCTGTCATTGATAATTCGTTATAAAGAGAAAACTGCTAAACAATCAGCATGACACTGCAATTACAAGCTATATGCTAGGTAAGTAGTAAGGGTTTTGCGCCCGCTTCCACCATGGATGATATCGCAGACAATATCGAAATGCTATAAAGTATACATGTATATACCTGTAAGCCACGTCAGTTGTTTATCAATATTGATTATATGTGTACCCATCAAACTTTAACGAACATATCGATCAGTCACATTGGTGTTAGGCTCATTAGGGTTTCACACTGCGTAGCTTGTGTGAAACACTATTGTTTTTGTTAAAATTATTCTTATTATTATTCTTCTTATTATTATTATTTTTTTTTTCCAATTTGCTTATATCTCAGCAACTTCTTGTCGGATCGATACAATGTCTTCAGTTTTACTGGGAAAGTGGGTGTGACTTAGAGATTAAAGCTATTCCCGGCATTCTGCGACATTGCGAAATGTCCGAAATCACCGAAAATGTCGTTTTTTGAAATATTGCCGTAATATTAACAAAAATCATTGGATTTTAGCATATGATGCATTTTGACATAGCCAGAAACAGGGGACATAGCTATGTTACTTTTGATTTTTGATTTTCGACAAATCTTGGAAGATATTAGGCGCCAAATTTTGAAAATTTAAATTTTTACAAAAAACTTTTTTATTTATTAATATTTTTATATGACATTTTAACCAAGGTTAAAGAGTCATCTGATTTGAACAAAAATGTCAACATTTTTTGTTTCCGTAATTTTCTTTGGCCGCCATTGGCTAATTCAGTTTTTCAGTCCTACATTAATTATTTATTGTTCGATTTGTATAAAACCTAGTTCATATGTTCCGTGGTTCAAAATGTCATTTTTTTTTGTTACCGGTAAAGTTTCCTGTCGGAACCGGAAGACGCGTAAATTTAGCAAAAACTACAATATTGACAGTTCGGTACCACTTTTTGAAAGCAAATATTATTTTTTACAAATCTGATATTATCCAAAAGATGCGCACTGTTAAGGTGCACAAAATCTCGGACTCAGTTTTTTTAATTTCGATTTCGTTTTCTGGCCATTTCGATTAAAAGGTAAAAAAAGGGGTAAAAATAAGCTATTTACAACCCATCCAGCGCCTTCATATATTAAAATATTTCTTTGATACGTTCATAAACTTGTAGAAATAACCCATACGAAGAGAATGTATGTGAAAAATAGTTTGTAATATGAGCAGTTGCCGAGAAATGGGCAATTTTGCATGAGTCACTTTTTACGCTAGTTTGCCTGTAAAAGAGTCAATCATTACTGGATTTTCATAAAAGTTACACCATTTGGTGCGTAATGTCAATTTTAACTAGGTCAAACCAATTCAACATTACCAATATCACCGGAAATTACGTAATTTGGGCAAAAACCGTATTTATAGCCTTCGAAACAAATAATTTATTCAAATGAGTTGTATTTGTTATTCGTTTAAAATTTTGATATTTGATTCCAATCAACTATTAGAATGAACCCATACGATCATATAGATATCACAAATTCCTTTCTAACTTGGTCAGTTGCGGAGAAATAGACGATTTTGAACAGGTCACTTTTCAAGGTTTTTGGACCATACAACTGTCAATTATTTTTCGATTTTCATAAAATTTTCACTGTTTAATACCTTTTACCAATTATGATTTCATACAAGTAATTTCAGATTTTCATTATCACCGGAAGTAACGTCAATTTTGCAAAAACTGTATTTGTAGCCTTCAAAACGGATATTTTTGTCAAATGAGTCTGATTTGTAATGTTTTTACAATTATGATTTTTGATTCCGCTCAACAAATATATTGAACACATATGATCATACAGATACCGCAAAATGGTTTCTAACTTGTACGGTTGTAGAGAAATAGACGATTTTCTACAAGTCACTTTTCAAGGTTTTGGGTCTTTGCCATTTCTGATTTTAAAAAACTAATTTATCTTTATCATTATCACTGCATACAATGTAATTTCGTCAGGATCACTAAATGTATAAAATGAATTGATTACCAAAAGATGTTGGTTCCTGTGGTAATTAGCTCATATCAGATTGTTACTTCCTGAATTATATTATTGTATGAAAAAACTTTCTTGTTTAACTTTCTTCTCTATCCATCTCTTGCAAATTGTGTTTGTTTTTCTTTCCTCCAATTTAAATGGCTGATATTTACCATATTTGTTGGAAAGATTTATAAAAACCTTCAGAACCATTTGTAGGCTATGGTCTGGTATCTTAAAGTTATTATCTGATGGTGTTGATACCCGTCAGTCATTATGTACATGTATGCCTTAGTTTAGTACGTTCTGATTTCATAAACCAATTTGACATTTTCATTATCACCGGAAGTAATGTAATTTGGACAGGACCACTGACATGTAGCAAATGAATTGATTGCTGGATTTGGTTGTTTCTGCGTCCATTTTATTTCATGTGTGCAATGCTTATGTGGAAACCTGTTTAACGGTTTCATTGGTACCGGAAGTGACATAAGTTCAAGGGTAACGTGGCACCGGTGAAACCCGTCATTACTGCTTCGCAGTTCTAGTTTAATATTATTATTGCCCACGCTAAAATCACCGTATTAAATTATGCAAACTTAAAACCCCGTTCGTTCGCCCCATCGAGGGTGATATTGCAGGCATCTTCGTATAACATTTTAACCTGTACTAATACAGCTTTCAAGTAAAATTTAGGACCATTATTCTCGCGTATCTTTATCTCTTAAATGATATCACAGTGATCTGTCGTTATATTCATTTTAAAGGAGCTAAGGAGATCGAACTAAAGTACTGAATTGAGTTGATTAATGGGACAAGATCTATTCCACTAAATCTTGTTTCGAAAGACTTAGGCCCGTTTTCCGGGTACACGTTTTCGAATATGATGGGATCGTTTATATGTAACCGGCGAAAACGCGTACATGGAAAACGGGATTAAGAGGAAGTCGGCATGTTATCTAATTTTGTTTTCATTTTTGGCGGACTGTACAATACAGTCGAACACACATTGGTTATATCTTTAAACTGGTTTTAAATATAGAAGTAAAACTTTCTACGAAAACAGATTGTTAGGCCACTTAATAAATTAACATTAAAATCCACTGAAATTGACCATTATATTGTTGACCCAAATTAAAGAAATCTTCATATTATACCATCCATGTGAGAGGTTTAAGTTTTCTTGGAGATTGTTTCAAGCTCTTATAAATAGTATAGTAATTATTATATGAATGGTTATATGAACAATAAGAGTTTATGATCTAATTATCATGATATATACTAAACTATATATATATCCTACAATCGTCCAATGTAGATGTTATCTGTTTCGTTTAGTAAAGTTAATAAAGCGGAAATAAAATATAGGTATAATTATACACGGATACTGACAACGTAGTATGATATTTAAACAAAATGAAACGTGTTTTAAATGAAAATTAAAGATGTATAATGTAAAATTTAGATAAAGAGCTGGCTATTCTTGCTATAATAGTTAAAAAACAGATAACGAAAAAATGATATACTGACAAATTTATTCAAATTACTGTATTCTGGGCGAAGGTATGACTGTTTGAAGACGTAGCGTAGATCGTTTATAATGGTAGCAACCATTTTATATTCAGATTTTTTTTAATCTCGCGGGTGTTCAAATCCATTTATATCTTGACCATCCGTTTTAATTATAGGCTTGTCATGCGAATACATAGCTAAATAATAAATAATGCATATAAGATTTGAAGCCAGAAAAAGACATGCAATAGGAAAATTTGGCTCTTTCATAATACATCTATAATTACCACCATTCAGTCGTGGTTGTGTCCATTAGGGTTTCACACATCTATACTGTGAAAAAACTATTATCTATTGTTTTTGTTTCGTATTTTTATTTTTTAATATTACTATTCTGAAAGATGAAATGAAATGAGTTGTTTTAACCTCTACACCGATTTGGCTAACGAAGACGGAAATACATATAAAGCTAAATAGCATAGACAACGAACATTCAATTTGTATGAAGCTGGAAGACGTTGGCTCGCTAACCTGGCGGTCATGTGTTCGATCCCTGCGCTGGCCGAGAAAGTTCATCGGATTTTCCGTAGTGGTTCCTCCATGTCCGTGGTGCGGGACAGAGGGCCTGGCAAGAGGCAAAGTATAGTCGTTCGGATGGGACAAAAAACCGAGGTCCCATGTACACGTTGGCATGTACGTAAGAGATCCCTTGGTAGTTTGAATTCGATATAACAGTAGGACGTTAAACTCTATTTCATATCATTTTGTATGAAGCTAATTAACGGCTATTTATAGTTGTTGTAGCAACCAAAGGAATGCTATTGTTATTGTATATAAATAAAATCTTTTATTGATGTTTCGTATTGATGTGCTTACCCAACCGATTAAGAATCAAGGTCAATACTACCATTGAGTACATAATGAAATCCCTGAGTAATCATTTATACCTTGTTTAGTCAACGATCCAATAATCACCAGTCTTCAACTTTTACATACACATAGCTGATAAAACTGAACTATTTAAAGGAAAACATATTTAAAGGTGTATCTTAATAGGAAGAAAAATGCCCACTATCCGACATGTTTTAACTGGCAATGGGAGAATATAACAGAGACATAGTGCCAATTGGAATGGTCTAATGTGTAGAATGTGTGACCGTTGGGTGGTCAGTCCTACAGCTATTCAACTGATGTATTAAGTTGTTGAAATAATAACGGATTTAGTGGTGTCCGTTTGACATTAAATAAAAATATGAAATTCAAGAACATATAACACTGTATTCAAACAGTAACACTTCATGTTCCATTGTTCCAGTCCATCTGTCCCCGTGTCAAGGACCGAAGGCTTGACAAGGACAAGAAACAGTGTCTAGTCGATCGGATTGTATATAAACCAGAGGTCCCGTGTATACTTTAGAATTTGATTGCTGCCCTGGCAATATTGTTGATATCACAGACAAATGGTTCCCGGGAAACTTGCCAGAAGAGTTAGTCCTGGGTGGGAATACGCAGGCGAGATAAGCAATCCGTCGACTCTATTTCCTTGGTTAAAAACACAATCGTGCCTTATAAGTCACATCATCTGATGGGACCTTCTTACGCCAATCCAAAGTCATAGTTCCCGGGAACAAAGAAGCTAACACAAATTTTTTAGTTATAAACCAACAGTTGGAGACAGTATTTTCGATGAAACGCCATTCATGTCGCTTTTCTTTTTTCTTTTCAGGTTTATATTTCTCTGCCCATTGGTGTCCTCCATGTCGACAGTTTACCCCCGTACTCGTTGAATTCTACAAGAAGCTGAAAACAGCTGGTAAACAGTTAGAAATTGTTTTCATTAGTTCTGACCGAGACGAGAAGTCATTCCAAGAATATTTTAATACGATGCCCTGGTTAGCTTTAGATTTCTCATTACGTACAGAAAAGGTAAGATTTTTAATGACTAAAAATCTAATACGCCCCTCTCATTTTGTATCATCTGCAATCTGTAGGGCGATTAGAGGGCTTTCACAACTAAAATATTAACTGATGTATGACTACGACTCTCCATAGGCTTCACCCCTAAACAGCGAATACAATGTATTAGTAGGGCGATCCGATCCGTGTACTTGTCTGTGAGTAGTCGAATACTGACATCTGGGCATAGATAAATTCTAACAATCCGGTTTTGACTAGACGCGCGGAGGAAGGGAAACGTAGGATTATTTGAATTACCAAGGTAAAATTATTTTTTTTGGCGCGATAATTATATCATTTAATATTCTCACTCCATTTCTGAAAATCTAAATGAAAATGTGCACTCGAAAAAATCAACAACTTAATAGATTGAAAAATATATAAAATATGTACCAACTTACAAGATGATTTTCATATGTGGCAGCTTCACAATGGAGTCACCTTCCTAAATACCCGAAACAGTGTTCAACTTTCAAATTATCACTGAGCTTTCTGTTCCGATGCTATGTTTAGTATTGTAAATGTTTCTAGAATTGTAGTGAACTGAACCCTTTTCATTTGGTCAGCGTGGAATGGCGCTACACAAATGTTCACATTATTATTATATGATGTGATATAGTCACAAACATGGACTATTTACTTTTTCAGGAAAGTGTAGGGCAAAAGTTTGGTGTGCGTGGAATTCCTACGTTTGTATTATTGACCGGTGAAGGGGAGATAATCAGTAAAGAAGGAAGAAAAATTGTTAGCGAAGATCCAGATGGAGAAAAGTTTCCATGGAAGTAGTAGATTTGAGAGAATATGAATGTGATTACAAATGCTGTACACAATATGTTTATAAAGTAGTGATATTTGTTATGCAACCTATAAAACCTATAGCTCATTTCTGTTGTTTGTCTTTGTAATATTAAAGGACAATATCCTTTCACAGTCTCACACAACAACTTTTGGTCTTCGAAGGAATTATTAGTGAGCAGAAATTCGCCCATGTATCTGTTATCACTGGTCACTTCAGTCAGTTATATAGAGGGATAACTCGTGTTGTTCCTTTTGCGTTCGTCACTTCCGATTGTTCAAGCATTGATTACGCATCTATCGTAGCAATGATCTCTGTGATAAAATAATTTGGAACGTGTTTAACCGGTTCTATCACATGTGTAATAATGACTGGCACCAATATTGTCCTTTAATTTATGCATAATGTATTTACTACGCAGATAATAAATTTCTTCATTTGAATTTTGGTTATAATTCAGAATTTTACTAAGTTTTAATATATATCTGATGCTTTCATCAATTCCTAACTACCATTCCAAGAAGTTACAAGAACTTAAATATCTGCTTCTTTAACTCGGGGGTGGGATGGCCTTATGTGCTAACGCGTGCGCGGCAGATCATATAAGGTATGTCATTGAGGCGGGTGGCGTGGTTTTGATTCTCAGCTTGTGCGTGCCAAGGAGTAGGGTCGCCTGTCAAACCTAAAGACCCTATGCATAAGAGATTTATTGAAAAAGACATTGTACCATATGTTGGTCTAAAACGACATAATTTGTATCGCCGACTTTACACCAGTATTTCTAAAAACTAAGTTAACGCCATATGGGCCATTGGGGCCATTAGAAGAAGAACCCTATTTATATTCAGCGTTTTCCGACCTTCTGTTCTGGTGTTACCCCCACCCGACTCACTTCCGATCAAAAGCACGAGATGATGAATCCCATTCTAATCCGACCAAAGAATCTGTTATAACTTGCCGTGTTTTACCTTGCCTGACAGGCTGTTTGTTTTGTTACAGATTTCCATTTCTTATGCATCAATGTAACGCATGACAATTAATTAACAGAGCTATATTATATATAATGAATTTATTGATATACGAACTATACAATGATAGGTGGAGTAACAATACATATTTACAATATACTCATTCATGGACAAATTAGATCAATTAAGAAAATAATGGGAATGCTTTTGTGGTTACATCACGGCAACATCAATGGAATAATTATAACTGCCATTTCAATATATTAATATAATATAATAATATTGTTTTCTACATAAGGCACACATTTCAACACAGAACAAGAAAAATGAACAGATATAATTGTAATGTTAAAAGTTCTCAAATATATAAAACAGTTATTACAATTTTTTTATATCACACGGAGTATTAATATAATTTATTAAGTATCAAAAATTCGGTAAATAGCACTTTAAACGGATAAAATGTATCTTTTATACAATTTTTCAGCTTAGGAAATTAGAGACGTTGGTTTTGATTTTGATAATGCACAATATTAAGAAAGGTAAAGTCTGTATAATTAATTAAGCCAATTGTGATTATTGGAGACAGGAAGACGCCGGCTCGTCGCATTGGGGACGAATTTCTATTTTATAAAAATTCTACCAGTTATCTTAGTTTTTAGGCTAATGACATTTGTTCGTTACTTAATGTATCCGCAGACAATTTGAAATCTGATGGACCAAAATGCTTTAATCGACATCGTTTCAAAACTGCATCATGTACACAAAGTAAATGTCAATAAACTTTGTCAGTAAGTTACAAACTATGTACATACAAAACGAAATCAGGCTCCTTTTTTATCTGTGATTCATTAAAAGCCGCTATTAATATGAAATGAAAGCATAATAATATAATCCAGACAACAAAAACAAAACGGATTAAAAAGATTATCGAAGTATCACTTGACTGTCAGCGTCCATGGTTACAGTAAGGATGAAGTGATGAATGCCATCATTAATAGAGTTAGACAACCAACGGGACTGACACTATCAACACCTAAAAAAGAAATGAAAGTTGTAGCATCATTCTGTTGCAGACTAGCATTGTTTGGACCAATAAATTCATCCAATTAAGCTGTGCAGTCAGTGATAGTAATATGTAACAGACACTGCTACATTTCAAATGATGCAAACAATGTTAAAAAATTTCGTTTCATGTGAAATTTCAATTGGATTTTAATTGATTTTAATTTAAATTATATACCAGCATTGGATTAATTACCAATTAATTTTGTTAAAAACAAAGAATGAAAAAAAAAACAAATACATGAATGTTGACATGCGCATTGCCTGTTTTGCCGAGTGAATTCGGCTTTAAACTTTAAGCCAACAGTCTATGACAGTTACAGTTACGCTCCTGTGTTACTTGCGATTAGAGCTTCGCTCTATATTATTGCAGACATATCTCAGACAACATATTTGGCTTTATTGGAGCATTCTCAAAGGACAGGGCACTCGCGATAACTAGGGAGATTATTATGGGGATTCTAAGCCTACCACAACTCGGTATTTGCTCCATTAACGACCAGATAACATAATTTACGTTCCCATGCGGGAACAGAGCTTGAACAAATCCTAATGGTCTTAGACCGGATACATTCTAGTGTGTCATTCCTGACACTGTCAAGCCATTGCGACATACCACTAATAGATCACATTGTCTTATAAATAGTCGACGTTTTGGTTCCACGAAAGTTCTTCGTTCCGAACGCCTATAACATGATATTTGATCTGACAAAGAATGATACAAATTCCATATCTGATACACGCAGCAATTTTACGACATAATAGTTTGTTAGCAAAATACAAGGTTAACCTACCTCCTGCTGGACCATTTCCTTTAAAGGAGATAGATGCTTTAGCTCGTAGTGATGATTGTTGAGCTGCTGTAAGAGAATCATACTGTGCCTGGGTAACAGAGTTGGCTTGGTTACTGCTGAACTGGTTGAACTGATCCACCTTTAATGCCTGCAGAAATGATAACAAGAAAATGGTGTATTGAATAACGACGAATATATAATAAAAAGTAAATAACACATTAGAAACACCACAGATGTGTTAATAAAAGTCGAAAATTATCATATTGCTCACAGCTTGATCCACGCTTATATGAATATCTGTTTAGATTGATTATTTAACATTCAGTTACCAAAATACCAACGCTAGATAATCTCTTGGCGTGGGTTAAGTTCAGTCTTATTTAGAGCAGCTCCATCCATTTGGTTCATGGCAATTAAAGATGGCGACCGCCTTGTTACATAGGAAGTAACATATATCGATGAAATTTTCAATTCTTCATAACTTAATAAATAATCAGCGGAATTGAGCCATTTTTGGACTGATATTCCCATTAGATTTAACTTTTACAATATTACAAGGGATACTATAACGCTAATTGAACATACTTACCCCAAGTGTTTGTGATGGTAAACGAGGAATAATTTCAGGCCGTATCATATTAATCTGACTTGGGGTCATCATAGAGACATGTGTTGATTCTAAACCACCTGTAATATTGATAAACAATAAATAGAATATACAGTACAATACAATTCTTGACTCCTCAATTGAAAAGTGGTATCAAATGTTCAATTAAGAGTAATCAACATACTTTTCGCCTATAACAGATATACTGGATAAAGTTTATAATTGTATCTCCAGGGAGTATGGTTTAAGCACTAAACAAAATCGTTTATCATCAATGAATGGTAAATTTGGTGTTTATTATAGTTAGGGGAGATGTCGACACTGGTTATTTCTATTTTACGTTTCCGATAAATGGGCTTAAGCTGTTGGAAGAAACCGAGGAACCGGGGGAAGAACCATGACGTTTAACAAGCGATACTAGCCTTGTGACGTACAAGTGCGGATTGTAACCTCGACCTCCTAAATCAGTGAAAAACCTTGTCCCATGAATTGCGCGCTTTAGACCCCACACCCCAATCCCTGTCCATTTCCTGCACACTCTTTATCAGTTAATGAACAGTGTGTTTAACAGGTACGCTAATTGCGCCCCCCCCCCCTCAAAAAAAAGAATAAATAAATAAATAAAATCGGATAAAAGGTCACTCTACAAGAAAAAATACATTGAAATGGTATTCCCTTAATTTATATTCCCATTTACCCATTAATCTACACTTTCTTATCTAAGAACAATACAGGATACGAGACTTGATAATGAAGAACTTACCAACTATTCTACCTAGGTCTGCAACAACTGGTGGAGACCATGTCTTAACATCGGAACCATACGCAGCAACAGCTTTTTTGCCATATTCTTTTAGTTGATCGTGGTTGCAAGATTTGGCATTACCAATAGTGCGCACGGCTTGTCTGAAATAATAGATAACCATATATTATTATACCCCAAGTCATTTTATAAATAATGCTAGGGGTACCACAGCACCTTTTCTTTTTTTTTTTTAAACAGGCTTAGCCTATGTAAAACCCCTCTCGCTAAATAATTTGTATATATTAATGCAAAATGGGTGTATATACATAGTTATAATGGCAAACACATACATAGTATATAAGTATAATAAAATATAATGGGTGAAAATATACAGTATATATAGTAGTTAATAATTATACATATACAACCACAGTAAGATTTTTTTTTTAATAATAGACAACATTAGAGAGACTAGCCAAAATTATACATAAAATAGACGATAAAATATTATTTGTTTGATATATCTATAAACTTATGGACCTGTTAACGTCAAGACAGTTTATATTTTTAAAATCGTGTTGTAATTTGTCTATGGTTTCTGTTCGTGCATTTGAATGTAAGGACCATCGCAGAAGGTAATGGTCGGGATCTTCAAATATAGGAATTTGTGACCCTGCAGGCCAGAGCATCGAAGTAATTTACAATAAATTATTTGAGGTTTCCGCTGACCGTTATAATAAAACGAAGGAACTTTGATATCAGATTTGGATAGACGGTCGGAGAAAATTTTCAGAGTTCTAGAATTCCATGCAGGGTTACTGAGTTTATTCCACCATGTTGTAAGAACAGTTGACAAGGTATGACAATAGTTAGATTATGTGTGTGTCCATATTAGATGCAAACAAAAGCTGAGGTCATGACAAGATCGGGTTACTACTGTATGTTGGTGAATTGTTGTAGTATAGGATGTCAATCATAAAAAAATATGTGCAGATTTAAACCTATTCTTTGTAGTACTTATTGTTTGTTTTGTCTATGTTGTATGTAAGTAGTAATTAGCATTAATACTGTTAATATCTGAATATCCAGTAGAATTATTCGTATAATACTTACTTAAAGGCATCAACATTTAATTTTTGGATATGTGGTAGTTCTGCTCCACACACAAATTCAGAAAGAGACGATAACTCGACCCCACTTATCATTGCAGCATTTCCACCCTTTGTCTCACCTAACCATTTGGCAAAACCAGCTTTCAACTATAAAAAAGTAAATGAACTGGAATGAAATGGGTTTTAACGTTCTACTGTTCTGCTCCGACTGGGTTAATGAAGATGTTCATATGCCATACAGTGTGCTGTTAGGTAAATGTTGCCCGGACAGCGGCGCAACGGCCTACTCATATATCGAATTTCAACTGCTAACTGCCAATCTTTAACGTGCACACAAATGCGTATACGGGTCCTCGATTGTTTGTCCCACCCGAACGACTAGACAGCTGTCCTTGTCAGGCCCTCCGTCCTACACCACTGACAAGGGGAAACCACGCCTGAAAATCCCGAAGACCTTTCTCGGTCAACGCGATCCACCCAACGACCTCCAGGCTAGCGAGTTGGCAACTTACTCACTTTGCCACCGTGGCTCCCTATAAATAAGAAAGAAATGATAGCGACTCTACGCACTATTCTGCAGATCTTTAACGTATTGTTTGTAAGGTATATAGTGATAGGAAACATTGAAATAAACCAAACACAACTTTATGGATAACAATAACTAGCAACTTGTCATATCGTTTCTTTACTGCACGCCATCACTATCAATGGGAAACCAAACGGGAAAACTTTCTCAATCTACACCAGAACTGAACCCGGGCACTGCTGGTTAGTACCTCAGCGACACACTGCACAAAACATATTATTGATAAAGCAGATTGTATTTTTAGACACTAAATCGCTGAGTTTTATTCCACGCTCCCCTGATATTGAAGCGGTCAATTGATATCAACAATCGTTTATTTCATGAATTACTGTGAACCAAAGAATCATTGGTACCTTCCATTTTTCCGTAAACAATATTTGTTGGTTGTGTGAGTCACGAATAAATGAGAAGAGTTATCAGGTATTCTAAGGTTATATATGATGCTTTATACACTAAAACTGTTACTATTTATAAAAATGAAGCAATAGTTAAAACTCCGATGCCAGAATCCGTAGTCATAGTCCCAGTTGTTAAAATGCAGCAGCATGGCAGACAAAGAGGACGTGGTACAAACTGTTAAGAGAGAATTCTATCATCTATACATACCTGACTAATGGACATTAAGCCATGTTTTCCTGTACTGTGCATAGCATCGACAGAGGTAAGAGCAAGTTGTGAGATTTCTGTACTTGATAAACCAGCTATAATACTACCAATACGTTTAATAGTATCAACACTCCATGAAGGGTGATCATATAATGACTGTGAAAATAAGCAAATAGCATTAATTGTTCATTCATATATTGAATTGTTGTAATAACATTTTTAAAATAATAACAACATCTCTCCCTTATCATCTTTAAAGGAGCAAAACCGTTTAAGTCCTAATAATGTGTTTCTGCTGGGACAAACAAACTTCATCCCATTAAGTTGTAGTTTCTGCTCATAAGGCGGGGGTCGTTTTCATTATCAATATTAGCTAAACTCTAGAAGGATTGACTTTTGGTACCCTTTAACCACACAAAACATCAATGACCTTACCGATGTCGCCTTTTTGATAAGAACACTTAAATGATTTGGTGACCAGTCACTGAGTTGACCAAGTGTTTCTAAGCAGTTGGAGAATTCAACCTCGGCCATGGCAGAGAATTCATCTACTGCTATTTTGGTTGCTTGTTTACCCATAATTTTAACCTCATCACACTTCAGGCCCATGACTGAAACAAAACCCAGAATAATCATTGTATATTGTTTCACACAAACTAAACACAGTGATATAACATATCAATATATGACATGGGCTACACGGAATTTCAAAAACAAAATCAAAGATACAGGCTTCAATGTCGTACTGTTCCGCGCTCACCGGACTAAAGTAGACTGACATACGCCATGCAGTACATGGGTATCTGTATTTGTCTCATTCAAACGACTAAAAGTGTTCTCCTCCCCACCCCCAATTTACCGCTGACAAGGGAAACCCAGACCGAGTTGGGTATATTGTGCACTTAATACCCCCTACCAATCTTAGTCCAAGTCTTAAAAACTCACCGGCTCTTCTGCGTCTGCCATTTGCAACCGTAACTGTTAAACTTTCTCTAATAATTTCAACAACTTTCTCTTGTCTTTCTGTAGTATCATCTGTCTCTTCCCGTCCAAAACCATTCTTTACTCTTTCCTCTCTCTCATCATCTACGCTATCCATTTTCTTGATAATGGTGGACGCGGCAGCTGACAGCTGGGCCTGGAATACACAATTTAAAATATGTTAACAAATGCCTGTATATTTTAGAATATGTAATGCTGCTAAAAATGGTGGTTATTCCCCAAGATAAATAAAATAAAACCAAGTACGAACAATCCAAACCATTAGACAAAATTCGAAGTCTTAAAAAAACGGTATAGGCAAAATAGTGTAATAAGGCATTAAACAAGTTATATGTTAAAACATGGACTTATTTAATAATAAACGACATATAATTATTGAAGTATAAAGGATCAACATATATTTATATAATAATAAAGGACAATTATTAATTATTTAATGATAAAGAACAGATAATCATTTAACGATAAAGGGGAGATAATTATTTAACGATAAGAGACATATAGTTATTTAAGGATAAATAACAAATAATTATTTAATGATAAGAGACAGATAATTATTTAATGATAAGGGACGGATAATTATTCAATGATAAAGGATAGCAACTTATTTCATGATAAAGGACAGAAACTTATTTAATGATAACGTATAGTTAATTATCTAATGGTAAAGGACAGTTAATTATTTTATGATAAAGGATAAGATAAGTAATGATAATAATTGAAACACAATAATTATTCATTTAAAAATGACATAAATACATGTACATTAATTTTATTTTTACATGTAAAGACGAGACCGTCACTCACTTTGCAAATAGCCTTTAGTTTATCTTCTGGTAGGTATTGCAAGTTGGAACCAAGTTGTGATAATCTATCACTCTTACAGTTGTACTCCCTATAAATAGACATAATTATACAACAAATATGAATGAACGAATGAATGAAATTGAGTTAAACATCCAACTGTTCTGCACCAACCGGACTGATGAAGATGGGTATACGCCATACAGTGTGCTAATGCGGGATATTTGGTCCAGGCAGCAATTGAATTAAAACTATCCTAGGCTCTTTTACGTGCACACCAACGTGTACACGGGACCTCGGTTTCCATAACCATCCGAACGACTAGATGCCTATGTCCTGTAGCACTAACAAAAGGAAACCACAAATATATGAAATGCTGTAGATATTAACGAAAGACAACACTGTCTATATAAATTGCGTAATGTTATTCTGAAGAGAAATAAAGCGACATAACCATACTATTAATCAACGAAATTATCAGAGGTTATAAAAATAGACTTAAATTCAAGACTAACAGAACAAAGTTTTTATGGCAAACAATCACTGGTTTTATTCGAAAAGCACGACGTTTCGACAAGTATCCTCTTATCGTTATCAAAAACAATTTTCTCAATAGCTAAATGCCACTTTGAATTATGTTACTAATATTAGAGATTTATTTGAGGATTAACAAAATCATTTTTACAACGAGATGTGAAAGATAAGTACGGGTTGATTGGCATCGTACCACTCGCATATTTAGCCTTTTAAAAAAGATACAATTATATTTATTATACGGGGAGTTGGGTGGATGGCCGAATGGTTAGCTCGCGCGCGCTCTAGAGTATCATACGGTCTGTCATTGAGTCATCTGGCGGGGTTTCGATTCCCTGGTTGTACGTGACAAGGAGTAGGGTCGGCTGTCCAACCTCGTGGGTTTCCTCCGGGTCCTCCGGTTTCCTACCACTGCTAAAGACCCCTACGCGCAAGCGAATTATTGAAATAAAAAAATTAAACCATATGTTAGTCCCGAAATGACCTAGTTTGTGTCGAGTAGACGTTAAACCCCATTTCCCTCTCTCTCATTTATTATACGAAGAATTCTACTTTATACTCACGGATCAAAATCCTCTACTTTCTCAACGAGTGCTTCTCCTTGTTCTTTGGATAATGGAAGTTTACTGAAAGCATCCAAGTTGCCTAGAAAAGCGTCTTTAGACAAACCACGAATATCATCTGCAGACAAACCCAATAGGGCACCAATCATACTTCGTACATCTTCTTTTGTTAAGGTATCCTTAATAAGGTAATATTTCAAATTATAATTATCGACTGTCATGTCAACATACCGTTGTGAATTTTGTCCTGTTCATGTTTATTACACACATAGCGTGTCTTATTGATTGTGACTACACCCCCCCCCCCCCAGGATGTACTTCATTTTATCAAGTTACTAATAATGTCTCTTAATGACTGTGACTACCCCCCAGGATATACTTCATTTTATCAAGTTACTAATAGTAATTTGATGAATTTTCGTCGTTTTCCGGCCAAGTTCGGGATAATGCCTTAATTATCAAGACTGGTTATTCAATCCAGAAAATGCATTAAAGTTAATTAGCTAATAAAATTGACAGGAATTCCAAATTCCAAAACGAATGTCCACTTTTCTGTTACCGAAATATACTTACATCTTCTCCTTGTTTTTTAGCAGCCTTCAGCAATTGTTTGGATTTTTTGGCCAAATACATCATTTTCATAAGACTGAGTTTCGAACTAGAAACTTTACTTAACAGGTTAACAAAAGCTTTACCACCAGTTGGTGTGAATCGAATTTTATCACTATCATCATCGTCCCTGTTGATTAGAAAATTTGCAATTAAATCTTTTGATTGAATGTTATTTAAGAGGAATTATCGCAGCCACAAAGAATAAATGCAATAGATTCTTTTAAAGTACTGAAAAAAAACGAGCATGGACGTGCTTTGAGTAAGGTATTTTGCATTAACGTTCTTTAATTTGAAAGTTAAACGTCTTTATTGTGAATGACAAATAACGCCATTGTGAATTGTCATTTTCAAATGGCGACGACCTATAAAACTGCCTTTATAAGCCACTGGTTGCCATTTGTAATTTGAACCCAGAAATGGTCCCAAAGCGCTTTTCAGTCTTTTTGTTGTTCTTGTCGTGGGGGGGGGGGGCGCTTGACTTTTTGATATGACGCCACAATTTCAAGATGGTTGCTATGACGTCATGCCCAGTCCCTGCTTCATCTATCATCCAGAAAAATATTCGTAGAATATTTGTCTGATTGCTTTGTCAATATTTGAGAATAACAGGTCATTGACTAGATTAACCAGCCTTTTACATTATCATAAAAAAGTCTAAGAGAGGTAAATAGTCTTAAAACAAGATGGCGCCCGTGAAATTAATTTAAGAATGCCATTTCAGAAAATCCATTTGATTGCATTGCCAGTTCAATATCCAACACACTTTGTATATATTAATGTAAGAATTTTGAGATTTATTGCGGGAAGGGGCGCAACTCTTACTTTACTTGGCCAAAGATACTGGATAATCAGGACACAGCTCACCAAATATTTCTACGCCGTCACCCACTAAACAAGGGCCAAGGTTATTTTTAATCTTTCTATCCCTTTCCCTTCCCCCATTATGCATGACGATTTTTGTTGCATGTTTACTTGTCTCTACTTCCAGCTGCCGTATCTCAAATTTTTCATGGTGAACCTCATACATGCTTTTGGGCAAGAGTTTGCCACATGTTGCTCCGTCTGTGGCAGAAAGCGTTCTACCCAACAGAAATTTGGGGAAAAGTTAGAGCCGGTGTAAGAGACGAGAATTAACATTAAAGTCAATGGGGAAATCTTTAGTGATCTGTGGCCATCAACCACATAAAAAACAAAACAAACTTCCGGTTACGCGTGGGTAATGGAACTTTTTGTCAAATAATTACAATGCTCCCAGACCCTCCGTATGTTTAAGACTAGGAGATTCTGTTTGACCGAGACTATGGTTCATATAGTACGCACTTACTTGCTTGAACAATACCCAATTTTTCACGGTTTTATCTGCACTAAAATATATTTAAATTGATAGTTTAACATTTGAAAGCTTACATGTATGGTATAAAGCGTCCGGCTCTTAAAGCATCAGTATCATCCATATCAATCGATCCATCACCTAATACCTTCTCTATCATATCAGCCATACTTTCACTCTACAATAATTAGACATTAATATTTAAATGAAGGGTCTTTTTCGCCTAATTAAGTTCTTAGATATTAACAAGATGTTTAAATAAGTGGAACCACGATGGTTAGGTGAATATCTCGATTTCTGGGAGGTGCTGGGTTATAGTTATATCTCGGTCGTGAAAGTTTCTCGGGGTTTTCAGACTGGTTTCCTATTTTCAGTGGTACAGGAAAAGCGAAGTCTCTAATCGTTCGGAAGAGACGACCATTAATAACACGTCAAAGATAATTTGACAGTTGGAAATCGATAAAAATAGTAGGCCATAGCGCCACTGTCAGGACAAAATGTCATTCATAGCTAATTGCATGGCATATGCTCGTCTTCAAAAGTCCAACTACTGCAGGAACGTAAGATGTTAATTAATTCAAATATGAGAGATACCACAAGAGATACAGTGTTTGAGCTATAGATATAAGAATTTTAATTGAAATATAAAAAAGTGAGTGAACTATTTAGTTTTTGTCTCTCTGCAATTGCTTGTACTATACTTCCTACACTGTATTCAATAACACAATTAGGTATACCTGTCCATCAGTGAGGTCATCATCATGTTCACCAAGAATAGAAGCAGTAGCCATGACGTCATCTCTATCATCTTTAATATTTTCAATATCATCTTCTGACAGACCGACAACTAGACTACCTAAAGTCGCAATCTCAGTGGCACCAATTTTCATGCCAGCGGTGTTTTGTGCCATCATTTTACGTACAAGTTGATTGGCCTAAGAAAAGATTTAGAATTGTAAATTAAATATTGCCAGTATTAAGGAATTAGTTTATCCAAAAGTAAAGTTGAAGGAGATGCACATCTGGACTTAATAATTGTATTTCACTACACCCATGATATAAAGAGAACAATGCTAATTTCCTTACATCCAGTGAACGTTCGTGTCATTATTAAGTTGGTAGTTGGGGAGATTATGGTGTGGTATTATTACCAGTAGGGTAGCTAGAGGGTGGGGGGTCGGGGGTCTATCCTGGATGCCCCTTTTGGTCTAAAGTAACTATATGGGTAATAGAAAGATACAAGTTACCTCCCTTGCATGGACTTTTTATATGGGTAATATCCAGTATTTTGATTTAATTTACTGATATGTGTATACACATCTGCTTTAATTTAGGGTTTGGTTTGAGGTGAAAGGGTCGAGTGGTTTAACGCTTGCGCTTTAGACCTTAAACGTCATCAATGAGTTAAGTGGCATGGTTTCGATTCCAAGCTTGTACGGGTCAAGGGTTGCGTCCTTAACATCGTAGGTTTTCTCCGGGTCCACAGGTTTCCCCCAGAAAGATCCCGATTGGTGGTGTGACATCTAACCAGTAAGTATTCATTTCCATTAACTTACCAGGATCGGATTCCATTTCACACTACTTAATGCAGTAAGCTGTGCCATTACATCTTCCAAATCAACATCATCTATATCATCTAAACTCATTATTTCTTGAAATTTCTCACTCTTGAATAAAGCCGTGGGGATCCGTCCATTTGAACCTTTTTTAATCTGTAAAATTTCAGCATTTAACGACATGAAATGAATGAGGTTTAACGTCTTATTATCCTGCTCCATATGGGCTAATAATAGGCCATGGAGGATAAATTTACCGAAATGGTGTTAAAGCCTCCATATTTCCAATCAATCTTAGGGTTGTCCTGTCTTTAAACTTAGAGTGGCTTCTTTTCACAGGAAGCTTTATGGCATTGTACTCATTTGTAATGGAATGGGATTTAACGTCCTACTGTTCTGCACCAAACTGTGCTAATGATCACGGGCAATACGCCATACAGTGTGCTATGAGGGAAATTTTGCTCGGACAGCGGCACTACGGCCTACTCTTATATCGAATTCCAATTGTGTACACCGCGCCTCAGTTTTTCGTCCCATCCGAACGACTAGACAGATGTCAGTCCCTCCGTCCTACATCACTGACAAGGGAGAACCACGCCGGGAAATCTCTATGAACTTACTCGGCCAATGCAGGGTTTCACTTAGCCACCGTGATCCCCTTTACTCATTTGTATGGACATGTTGAACATGCTGCATAATATTATGAGACACCTTAGACTTAATGTTTTTCTAAACTAGATCCATACCAATACTTTACCTTTTCGACAAGAATCTTTTCGGCTGCATCATCAAAGTCAATGTCATCAAGAACATCTAAAGCTCCAACTAGAGCTGAATCAGGAATGTCATCTAATTCATCAGTGTTCAGACCATTCATTAGTTTGTCCAGATTTCTAATAGTGGTAGCAGTGAAGGTATTTGTCTGCAAAAAGGACACACCGTAGAATAATATTTTAGTGATGATGTAAGCAATTTGAAGATTAAAAGATTAAAAAATTAATTTAATATATACTCGTTTTATGCCAGAATATAAAAATATAATTTGTTCATATATCATTCACATACCTGGCCCATATTAAGTTTTCGGAATATTCCTCGTGCCTGAAAAATAAAACGCAACGCAATTAATAAACGGTTTAGTGATTGGCTAATCTGATTACATAGCGGATCACGTTTCACTTCGTTTTTAATAGATTAAATTTCTTTTTATTTGTCTTTAAGCCATTATTAGACAACTTCCATGTTTTCAAAAAATTATTAGTATACTAAATATTGCCCGATTATCTTTTGATAGTCTTACCTCGGATGGGTCAAAATCAATATCTTTAATCCTACTTAGAGCTCCTTTCAAAGCTTGAGGTGGAAGATCTACAAAGAAGTCTTCGCCACAACCCTTTAGGACATTGCCCAATCTTCGAATTTGTTCTCCAGTGATTGTAGAAGGATCATCAAACGCGTCAGATTCCCTGATTTTTTTGCACACCAAACTGGCCTCATCATCATCTAAATCATCATCATTAATGTCATCTAGAGCATCTTCTAAAGCTTCTGCGTTAAGGCCAGCTAAGTATCCGCGGTCACTTTTGATGAATTTAAATATTCTAAAATAAAATCAACAGTAAATAACTATTTGTTAGAATATACTATAACAAACTTACCTGTAAAGACCTATCTATTCAAATGTGCACTACACGGAACTAAAATTTTCAGCAAGATTATAAAGGTTCCTAATTATAAGTAATATATATAACCTTAGTCTGATTTAATTATAGTAAATTGAATTCCCACCTTCTAAGAGTCGTTGCATTCACCATATTGGGTTGGTTATTTTTTTTCTTTAATTTTCTTCCAATGGCTAATCCTAATGGTTCATCGTCATCAAGGTCGTCGAAGTCGAGGTCGGCGTCATCAAGCTAAAATAAATATTATGGTGATAAACACTGACTGTTTAGAACTTATAATATGTTATTGCTCATTTGGTACCGTTTAAATTATCAGAGGTCTTTTGATTCAGAGGACCATTATTTTCATTCGAAAACCAGGTATTGACCATTTCTATTTTTGGTTACAAACTATATTAAATACAACAATCTAACCGAACAGCCCCCAATCAAAATCTACAAACAAAATACATAAATGAAATTCCTGGCACTGAACTTCTTTGAGCTAGTCTAAAATTGATGGCAAGTCTACCGGATATATGAAATCAACTTGGCATAGCGTATACGTTTGTTGCGGAGTGTCAGCCACAGTGACATTCGATCACAATGTTACTACTGGGGACATTCCCGTCTGGTTTAGGCTTTCTAATAGGACTAAACACCGAGGTCAGCTTCACACAACACTGGAATGCGATGAAGAACCGCCCTGACCGGACACGATTTCTCTCAGCATTTTACGTCTTCATTTTCCAGACAGGTGCAGAATAGTGGGACAAAAGACTTGCATACGAACATTTTTGCAATTTTATTATATTGAACGTACGATTTGGAATAGTTACGAGCGCTTCAGGACACATCATAGTGCATCGAACATTTTTGCAATTCAATTCTATTGAACGTACAGTTTGGAATAGTTACGTGCGCTTCGGGACACAACATGGATTAGTGTATACGGAATGCCAGATGAAGACACTACGTATCGTCTCATCAATCTTGAAGACTCTAAATCACCCAACCACGAAGCCAAATGGGTTTTACACCAAATGCATTATTCTTCTTAAAGGCTATATTATGTCATAAAATGTTTCTATATCGACATCTATTATGTTTCAACGGAACGTAGTTTGAACATCTGGCCCAACTCTAGGGAGCCACGGTGGCTAGGTGGGTAAGGCGCTGGCTCGCTAGCCTGGAGGTCGGGTGTTCGATCCCTGCATTGACCGAGAAAGTTCATCCAGATTTTCCGACGTGGTTTCCCCTGACAAGGACAGCTGTCTAGTCCTTCGGATGAGACGAAAAACCGAGGTCCCGTGTAAACATTAGAATGCACGTAAAAGATCCCTTGGCAGTTAGAATTCGATATAAGAGTAGGCGATAGTGCGGCTGCCCGGGCAAAATTTCACTCATAGCACACTGTATGGCGTATGCCCGTCTTCATTAGCCCGGTAGAGGAGCAGAACAGTAAGACGTTAAACCCCATTTTATTTCTGTCCCAACTCCATGTCACTGGGCAATGTTTTCCAGCATAGTTAGTAGTGGGAGACTATTGAAATAATGGCCAACTGCTTTGTAAGATAATAAAGACACAGTGGGGATCTGGAACCGCAGAACATCCTTAAAATATTTCCTTAAAAATATTGTTGATGGTAAAACTTACTTCATCATCATCTATTTCATCAAGATCATCTACATCTAAAAATCGAATACCTCCTCCTAATTGATTAATATCAGCAGCAGTTAGCTGACTTGGTGCTTTTCGTTTTTTTATTCGGTCTCGTAAGGCAATAGCTAAATTCGGACTTCCTTTACCTTTCTTCGCAAGATTAACTAGTTTATCTAAACTGAAATGTATAAATATACATATAAAATATCCACCCACTAACTCTCAAAACAGAGTATAGATACGGTAAGAACTTTGTGTAACTTAAATGTGAAGCAGGCGTTAGGTAAAGCCATTTTACACAATGGGTTATATTGCAAGGATTATTATATATTAATGTAGTTAATTCTGGTAAAATGATTAATATCTATAGAAGTTATATTTAAAGGAGCTAAATCCCTAATCTTTGGCAACTAGAAATGGACACAAATGGGTCGAAACACATTAATAATGTAATGCGAATGCATATAAACTGATTAACATTCAATTATTTCTGTTTTTAATGTAATTTCTAATCGGGAAATACCCTAAGAGTTCAAACTGAATGGCAGTCTTTGGCATCTGGTTATTCCAGTCTACACAGATATTCCCCTGTGTGATATGTTTAGCCTCGTTCATTGCGTCGCGTCATTACAAATGGCGCTCGAAATCATTCTGGCACGCGATTCGTGAGCAGTTTTAAAATTTTCAGTTTGTCTTAAATATTGGATATCAGAAACCCATCTTTTCGCGGTAAGATAACAACATCAATGTTGATTTAAATTGACCAGTAAGTTTGCAATGTCGAAGACGGTGGATGATATTGAGTTGGCGACCACCCCCCCCCCCCTTAAATTAGTCTGGTTAATGTATAAAATATAAAAACACAACAAATAAAAAATGTGCTGAGAGAGAGAGCAACAACAATAACTTCAAACACATTACACACATAGGTTGCCAGGCAATGAAACTAGGCCTGTCAGCGGGTGCAGGTGAAGATGCTTTTGGAGAGGTTTGATGCTTACAGCTCAGATTCAATAAAACAAGTAATTTCTGAAGTTTGGCAGAACCCTTCGGACAATCTGGGCTCTTGTCCTAAATAAAACTCATTATTATCTCTATTGGTGGAGGTAGGGCGTGCCTTGATAAACGAGGAGAAAGTGCCAAATAAAACCAAACCAAACACCAAGACATTTTTAGGGAAATTGCAGTTTTATAACAAAAATATAACACTATTATTGGTGTCATATACGAGGCAGGCTAAGCTTATTATCTCTAAATAACAAGACATCATTTCCAAAAAAGCATTACCAAAATAATGTGCCCAACAAAACAATACCAACCACCACAGACAAAAGGAAATGATTTATACCCTTTAATCTATAAGGAGGAAACATATGCTTATTATACTATTTACACATAGTTCATTGGATCGTATAAGATGTATCGCCTTATGTTCAATGCTTATTAAAGATCTAGTAAAGTTTTAAAAAGGAAGGACACACGAATAAGAAGATCTTAATCATTCATAGATGGCATTCCGAGACCAACGCCTACAAATTTATACTTACACCGACGAACACTGGGATGGAACTAAACCCGACCCTGGTAAACAAATGCTTAAATAATAAAGGCACGAGAGCAAGGTTAGAAAAAATATAAATTAAAGGAACATAAGAAATCAATATAAGCTGAGGTGATATCTTTAAATTGTTTTAGTTGGGTCAATTTTCCATCATTGACGTTGAATCGTTCCAGAGTGATATAATCGTAAAGCATTGTTCCCATGTTATGAGTACTTTCTATGTTTCAATCTAAGAGTGGAGTTTATAAAATCAATTTTGTGTTGTCAATATTGCATCGGTGCATGGTCATATAGTAGGAAAATATTCTATGTTACGACTAATTTGCGGCATTATACCCCTCAACAAGAAAATAAATGTAATATATTTAAAATATAATAGCATATTCAAAATATCATTAGACTCAGCTAATTAAAATTATATTAACCGGAAAATTAGATCAAGGCATTGTTAGTGAGAGTACCGAACATTTGAAAACCTCTAACGATTAAAATGAGTAGGACTAGTATACGAAATCCTAAAACAGATATATCCCCGCAATGGATGGTCAGATTTTGCAAGCAATCCAATTTAAACATTCCCACTATAACAATGGGTTCGTATCAATCGGCAGAGCTTTAAAGTTCTAATTCCTCTTTGTGTATAACTAAAGGTTAAAATTCTTAACGTATTTATAGCGTCAATAATTGAACATAAGACTTGATAAAAACAGTAGAACATATTTGATAAAAATGTTCCAGAATTCAAAAATATATTCTATAATTAAATCTGTTTCGATTGGGTATACATGTACATATTTATTTCTATAAAACGGCTATAAGTCAGGTCGTGTTAATATTATGACTATTGACTAAATAGTTTCATTGTTTTTAATACAAAATATATAAATGCATAATAAAGCACAGGATAAACATTAAGCTAGTTAAAAGTATCATGTATAATCATTTAAAATATATTGTAAATTCCATTAACGTATAATGCAAAACTCATTAACGTATAATGCAAAACTCATTAACGTATAATGCAAAACTAACTAACGTATAATGCAAAAGTCATATAAAATATAATGTAAAACTCATTTAAATAATAATCAAGTGAATGAATGAATGAATGGAATAGGGCTTAACGTCCTACTTTTCTGCACCAATCGGGATAATGAAGGTCAACGTGTACAGTCAATCTCGTTTTCTGTCCTACCCGAACAACTAGAAGCCACGCTGGAAAACCCCGAACTTCCTGGTTGGTGACCCAGTGCCTAACTTCAGGCTAATAGTAATATTGTAGTGACATTGAATAGTGTCATACATTTGATATCATTTGGTTCATAAATGATAAAGACGGCTCAATTATTTGAAATTGAGAATTGTGGGCACATAGTTGCATTGCATGGTCGTCCCTTAGCTGGAGTTGTACGTTTATTTATGTCATTATGATGTTATATGCAATGTAATGAATAAACGTTTTACTACATTACAACATGCATTAATCAAACACTTCAATTTGTAATTGATAAAATTTGATGTCTATCACCATGGTAAAGAATAAACTCACTTGTTGTTAAAAACAGAATCTTGAAGATCCTCAATTATATCATCGTCTATCAGATCCGGGGCTCCTATCAAAGCTTCCCCTAAGTCATCATCAGTCCAATCTTCAACATCTTTCTCAAGAAGTTTATCGAGGAAAGCATCTTGCTGTGCATCGTCAAGGTCCAACTAAATGTACAATAAAATACACAAGATGAAAATGCCACTTACAACTCTTTTATTTCTTATAAAATCGTGACTACGGAGATGTGTTGCGCTTTGTCTTCCACCGAAAAATTTATTTAAATATTACCTGCTTTAAAAGGGTGTTTAGGGGCCGGGACTGTCCGTAAGAACGTCTCGTCGTGGACACAGAAGAGCCATAATCATTTACCAAGCCCGATTTGTCCAGGTACTCGATTTGGCTCGGTTCTCTGCACACAAGACTTACATTAAACCGCATCGTTTAAGTATTTGTTTGTTTCAGCTTTCTAGATGGCGTTTCGTTATTGTTAACATAGCCCTTAGATTTGGTCTGCCACAATTGTCTGCGTGGCGTCTCCCGAGTTGACAAAGAAAATGTTTGTAGTCGTTAGGATGGAAAGAACAAATCTTGATCAAGTCGTGTACACATTGCCGTGCTCAATATAAAAAGTAGTAGGAATTCCAATAAGAGTATGCCCAATAAAAGTCACTTTCCGAGGAGAAACCCTCGTTCTGTACATTCCATATAGAAATAAAGAAGTAGGGTATCTAGAGTTTGTTCCAACGGGGACGTCCTTGACTCCCCCTCCCCGCAATACCCATCAACACTCTTTCCGCCAGTAAGTAGTGCTTTCGTGGAAAATTAGAATTATGGCAGGCGCCTTGTATCCTTCTACTGTCCCGACAGAAAATAACCCCTTTTCCAATGTCATCCCTCCTTACTACGCTAGTGAAAAAAAAAACAATATATGCCAGTTTTCGTAGATTATGCAAATCATTCGACTTTTCGCCCGAAAAAAAAGTTATGTAAGATCAACGTACATCATCACCATCATCACGTAAATGTTGTATACAATTAAAACCTGCAGCAAGAAGTTTCTTGAAGTTCTTGATGCTGGCTGGATTTTTAGATATTTGTTTGCACATTTTTGCAACTATGTCTGCACCTAACATATCTTTAATACACGACAGGGTGGAATCCTAGAGAAGAAAAAAGATGAAATATACGATAAGTAATGCATTCTGTGACCATATAATATGATAATAAAACTCAGATCAAATTTCCTTTCGCTTTTTATAGTTCGTTTTATTTGCCTTCACTACACTGGGATCTGGAAGAGTTGTTATATAATCTGCGTTCTGGTTGATGTGAGGGATTAGCCAATGAAATTACCTGTTATAATGAGTTTTTGGAGTGCGGTGCACGGAATTGTGGGTAGACATTCGCAGCGGAGACAAGGCAAAAGTTGTATTTATAAATATCCACTTGAAACATCAACTCTGATTAATTAATCAATTGTCTGACTCCATAGGGTCAAAAGCCGCTCGAATGACCCCTGACTGACCTCCCACTACACTTCATGTAGTGGAGACCATCGAAAGTATAAAAAGATCTGTATTTTAATCAGATTGAATCGATATAAACTTAATGGACTTGCAGGACATAATTAAATAGGTTCCGATTAGAATTGGAAATTTGTAGAATATCATCGTCTTTCATTTCTCAATTCAGGTGTTTTTGTGAGTACGAGGGGTGGGGTAATTTTATAACAAGATCCGTCCGCAATGGCAGCCAGTCATTTGTACAGCAAACAGATCAGATGTGTTTGTGATCGAATTCATGTAATAGATTACAAACATGAACGTTTTTGTATTAACAATAGCGTAATCTAAGATTGTTAACATTCCAGACCAGTCTTGGCCACGGTATTAATTCGCACGTAGCATTCCGCCATATCTTAAGCCGTATTGACGTACCCACTAGCGGCTTATGAAGCATTTGATTGATTCTATGTCATATTGATGGATAGCCATGTTCATAATCGATGATGAAGTCATATTTTAATAGCAAGGTATGAGAAACGCTGTGTAACAAATCTTGGACACCTGGTTAAAGTGATTCGTTTTAAAGATACACGCTAAGTTAGATAGTTCACATATATTTCAAATAATGTACAATTGAATATAGAGGCTGTTATTATTGTGTAATTAAGCATATCCGAGTAATGGCCTGCTTTATACAATCCTAACGAAATGGAATGAAAATGAAATGAAATGGGGTTTAACATCCCACTGTTCTGCTCCGACTGGGCTAATGAAGACGGACATTCATCATACAGTGTGCTAAGAGGGAAATCATTTACGTGCACATCAATGTATACACGGGACCTCGGTTTTTCGTCCCATCCAAATGACTAGACAGCTGTCTTTGTCAGGCCCTCCATCCTGCACCACTGACAAGGGGAAACCACGTCGGATAATACAATCCTAACGATTTTTGCAAAGAAATTGTAGTCAAGAAAACGACATACTTTTGTAAGAAATTGAATGGAAATAAACTTCTAGGACTATTAATTTTCTAATTCATGTGGTGTTTCAACTCTACAGGATTGTTTCTCAACAAATGATACGTTTACGTCTAATGAATTTTCATAAAATAACAAACGAACCGTGAACTTTTCTAAATCATCATCGGAATCCATATCTTCTTCGGGTTTCTTGGTGGTTGATTCATCCTCGTCATCTTCATCTTCACCAGAAGATAAACCAAAATACTCTCTCAAATCTTCAAAAAACTCTTTCCTTTTTTCGGTGGTAGACAAACAAGGACTGTTAGCTACCTGTACCGGTAACAAAGCTTGTAGCCCTATACAAAAGATAAACAAAATTTATTGATTATCAAAAAGATCATTGAATATGTACAGACCCCAGATCACCATATATTTATCATTTGACCGGCTATAACCTTCTCCATAATTTTGGTTGGATTGATCGCTTTCTACTACAGGCGGCATTGTTTCGCACCATCCATTGCAAGTGTAAATAAATCCTTATCTTTCATGCTCATTGCATATCAAGAAATTTAGACAGGATATTGATGCACGGTTTGAAATATGATGGCCACAGATCACTAAAGATTTCCCCATTGACTTTAATGTTAATTCTCGACGGAGCAACATGTGGCAAACTCTTGCGCAAAAGCATGTATGAGGTTCACCATGAAAAACTTGAGATACACAAGCTGGAAGTACAGACAAGTAAACATGCAATTTTCGGCCCCACATTTCAACCTAACCAACCTCTCAACTGTTGTAACCTTCCGCATCAAAATCATGAATATTCACCAAAGCCTGACAGAAAATGTATTTTCAAACCCCTTTCTTCCATTCTACACTAAAAAGTCAACAAAACCGCCATGCAAAAAGGGGAAAAAGGGAAAGGGAAAGAAAGACTAAAAATAGCTTTGGTCCTACATTCGTGGGTGACGGCGTAGAAATATTTGGTGATCTGTGTCCTGATGAAAAAGTATGGTTTCTCCCCATTTCAAATGAAACAGCACACACTAAGATCCTTACTCACCAGTTTCTAATTTCTGTTTGTAGTCATTTAATAACTGGTTCAAAAACTTTCTAAATGCTTGCATATATGATCCTTGACCCATTGCTGATCCCGACCCACCTGCTATTGGTTTTTCACTTATTAATGTTGGTACAGGAGGCTGGGCAGACACCAAATAAACGGCTGTCAAAGAAAACAAAAACAAAGACATTTTAAAATTATATATCGTGGTATCAATGAAACAAGTATATCGTAGATTATTAATGGCCTTGAAACAAATGTTCAAATCTCAAGTGCGATGACATGGAACAAATATTAAATATATATATTTGCCGGAAAGTATTAATAAAACAACTGAGAATGCGATGCAGTGAATTAAATTTGAAATTTCTTTCTATGGTAGACACTATATGGATCTGTTTTGACCGAGAGGTTGCTGTAAATTTCCCAGATAGGTTTCACCATATGTTTGGTGCAGGACGGAGAAACTGTTAAAGAAAGGGCTTCTAGTCGTTCGGTCGGGATTCGTAAAAGAAACCCACCTGAATTCGATGATGAAGATTGCTGTTCGCGCAGAAAGGTAGGATCTTAATCCTGATTTCATTTCTTTATCCAGGCTTCCGCCATTGCTAAATATCTTCAAGTATTTATAATGAAAATCGTGATGATGAATTGAAGATAATAAAGTTCTGTTTTCTGAGCTTCAACATAATAATGACAATTATGGCCCACCCTTTTCTTTTGTTTTTGAGATTGGAGAACACATAGACCATACTACAGTCCAGTGTCTGTGTAAAATTTATAATGTAAATAAAATCACTGGTGGTTGAACCTCTAAAAGGACTTCAGACTCTAAAATTGATTTAATTCTGTTCATTTTTTACAAAAATATGATACATGAGAATTAGCAACAATCAGTAACTTTAATGAATAATTTAGTGTTGAAGGTGGGAGCCGTAAGTTAATATGTTCCATTAGCGTATTAATATCGCTCATTTAGAATATATAAAGAATCTCCTACAAGTTTTTTTTATATCAAAAACACAAGTCGATAAAGTAAAAGAACGAGACTTTCAAAAAAATATCAACACAAATCGATGAAGTAAAAAAAAAGCCGAGACTCTTTCGAGTTTTTTTTCTTACTTTATCGACGAGTGCTGGTATTTTTTGATATAAAAAAGACGAGTAAGAGATTTTATTTATCACTCAATCCTTTCTTACATGCACAAATAAATAAATATAATTCTTTGCTATAGATTTCACTTTTACTGAACCTGATTACATTACGGCGTAGGGATACATAATTTTTTGACAGCAATTCAACCATATTGACCCAGTGTTTCCATGAAAGTCAATTGAATAAAAATAGTTCCTTTTTAATTAGAAAGATGTTATTTTTAATAAAAAATGAACTGTTCTTTGAAAATAAAAAAATGAACTGTTCTTTGAAAATAAAAAAAGTAGTCCCTTTTTGATTGACCAATCAAATTCACGTAAAGCGATATCTCCTAAGGAGATATAGGAGTAGATTATAAAATTTATCACACAAGCGATATCTACTGTAGAATGTATTATTAAGTGATAAATAAATATTAAAGTCACGATGCGCAATTCTGCACTTTACGAATTACTTGCAAACTAAAATATAAAATATTGTAAAAGATGATTTTCTAATAGGAATATCAGTCAATGGTTCAGTTCCGTTCAGTATACATAAGAGTATGAGGAATTGAAATTTCATCGATCCATGCCGTTTCGCTATGTAATAAGCCCGCCGCCATTTGGTTGTCCGTGAAATTTATGCGTTGACCTGTTTCATTCGGATTGAATTCAAGCAGGGCTATTATCTAGTGTTAGCATTTTGATTTTGTTTTCTTAATTATATATTAAATAACCAATCTGAGTACATAGTACATATGCCGTGAGAAGGTTGATATTTTAGCGCCTAGATATCTGAACTTTTCAACTCGCGATAATAGCACAACGTATAAATACTGACCTATATAAAAGTAGGTCTGTATTTTCATATTTAATTAAGTTAAAAACATTAATAACATGCCCAACAGAAAATTATTTACATAACGCGATAATTAAGCACGCAGATCTCCACCAATTAATGTAATTTGTCAACTGTCAAGTAATTAAAACCGCCACACATGTTCAAGGTAATGTAGAAAGTATACTAGGCAGTTATATAAAACAAATATTTAACTTAATAGTATACATATATAACATACGGGATTAGGATTACTTATTGTAGTTAAAAGTATTTTATTGATGTTTATTTTTAGACACCACACTTGATACCATAATTTGACCAACTAATGTATGTTTCGGAATGTATAATATTTTTAGTGGACTAATACCGAATTTTAAACTTACAGATGCATTAGGCGTTAAATTAGGCCTATTGCGGGTCTTTATTTTGGCTTCCAATGCTATATAAACTATTATTTAGACAAATATTGACATGACAAGCTTATAATCAACTCATTAAAATACTGGATGGCTGGGATTTAAAAAGGAGCTAAATCGCTAATATTTGAGACCTAGAAATTGTCACAAATGGGTCGCAACGCATACAATAATGTAATATGAATGTATATAAACTGATTTACATTCAAACGTTTCCGTTTTTTCTCTAATTTCAAATCAGTTATGTTCGGCGAAATACGCCAGAAGTTTCAATTGAATGGCAATCTCTAGCGTCTGGTTATTCCAGTCTACATACGTTATTCCAGTCTACACCGATAGTATTTATTGCGCATGGTCGTCAGATAAGGACATGGCGTCACCGTTTGACATGATTCGTGGAATATGTGAATATGTCTAGCTTCGTTCTTCGAGACCCTTGTTACAAATTCGGGTGAAACGCATTATAGTATACGATTCGTGTACCAATGGTAAAATGTTTATTTTGTCTTAAATATTGGATACCAGAAGCCCATCTATTCTCGGCAAGACCACAACATCAATGTTGATTTAAATTGTAATAATTCGTGTTTTCAATGTCGAAGACTTTGGATGATATTGACTGAGAGACTCGGCTACTTTAACGATAAAATAGCCTCGATTACCAAGTACCGTTTCTAAGATAATAAACAATCTACCGTCATAATTAAGTAATTCGAATCAAGTGAGCAAAATTCCCCCCCCCCTTCCAATTTTTCAACTATTAAAGCAAGAACTCCAGTTTTTTTTTATCTAAATCTTACATAATGTATCTTTAAATTACGCAGACTCAGCCGAACTTGAAAATGACATCATAAAAGAAACAGTAAGAGCCATGTCACATACATGTAAATCAGCTTCTAAAGTCTCTCTCTCTCTCTTTCTCTCTCTCTCTCTCTCAATAATTCACATGCACATAGGTCTTTAGCAGTGATGGGAAACCCGAGGACCCAGAGAAAACCCAAGATGTTGGACAGGCGATCCTACTCATTGTCAAGTACAAGCGGGGAGTCGAAAAACAAAAGGGGAGAAAAAGCGTGACTTGACTCCGTATGGTATGAAAGTGAATAGGGGCCAAAAGGGCGAAGGATATCGCGATATCAATGTCTACATATTATGAGCGTTTTTGCCGAGTTAATATATCAACGCGCTATGTTGTGTTTCGCCAGAGAACGACCGTTTCTGAACAAAATACAGCTAAAGAAAAGCCCGGAAACTGCAAGCAACTCTACCCCTATAAATCCCTATCTATAGCACTTCATAAAATCATCGAATATTAAAAGAATATAACATTTTATTTTATGATCAGTAGTGGAATACCGCGTTTTATCAGTGAAATAAAAGTGTTATTCTACTGGCTAGTTGTTTTTACCTAAAATGATTGTAAAATCATAAAATAAATAGAACATTTGTCGTTTTGTCGTGAATAACATATTTATTTCATCTCTAAGCAAGAAAACGTTTATATTTTCACTCCTGCTACGCATTCGTGAAAATATAAGTTTTCTTGCTTCTCGATGAAATAAAATATGTTATTCACTCTAAAACTACAAATATCCTCTATATATATGGTAATTTTAAACTTGGCGTGGATTTTGCAAACTTTGATGCACCCACTTTATTGTACATATTATATATTAATCTTATTGAATTTGGTAGTCACAAATTATCAACCCATATTATAAATGATTTATACCGGAATTTAAGTCGATTCAGAGGGATTATTCTGCTATTCAATAAACTGAAATATAATTCAGATGAACCGTCTATCTATGATTACATCTAAGGTCAACCTCTGTTTACCGTCTTTGTTGATATTAAAATCTATAATCATTGATTTACCTTAATTATTAATGATGACATGATATACCATTCTAAAATATCAAGTAACTAATTAACAAAACCTTTTATAAGATATGTTGACAGTGTATTAATTCTTGAAGAAATCAAAATGCAAATCATACAGTGTAACTTAACAGATATTTTAAAGGCTGGCATCAATACATTATTATTTACTAACCTACGGATATCTGCTTTTGAAGAAATTCAGTTCAATATTACAAGAATTTGGGGTGGGGTTACGGTAGTGTGAATAAATATTCTATAATGTTATTTGTGTAGACATGCAGAATGTGAAAGGTATGCGTTTAAATTAAAATACCCGAGACAAATTAATCAGAGTATCAAAAGGAAATCCATGCGTTGGTAAACTAGTACATTCATTTATCATGGTAGTAAACAGGGATCATCATTAGGGCGTATCATGTTTCTTTTAGATACTGATGACATCTACTTCAAGACAATGACATTTACCTGTATCAGTGACTCTCTCTTTGATTAATGTTTTGTGATTCATGACTCAAAACTATCAAGATGCGTATATTTGTTTACAACCTATGACGTACTTTAATTCGTGAGTTATTCATCAAATGGTGGTATCCTTGATGACGAATGATGGATAAGACACGAGTATTTTTCACATGGTATATATTCACAAGATTTTATTGTGTAGCAAATGATTTAATTAGAAATTGTTAACATTATATTACTCAATCTGATCATTACTGACTAGAGTAGAACAGCCTTTAAATAAAACTGACTTCCACGTACATTTGCTTTTATTGGCATTAATGAAACCAGAGGAAATAGTGCAGCCACCCACTGCACCGAGTTATTGAGGTCACAAACCTTTTGCAGTTTATGCGTTTCGTTAGCCAGTGGGCTTTTGCGAA